GGGGGGGGGGGGGGAGAAAGATAGTCCAAACAGAAAGTGCCTTGATGTTGCAAGTCGAGCAAGTACATGTATCACCATCAGGCGGGCGCAAAAGCAAACCTGATCTGCCCAAATTACACACAAAAAAAAAAAAAAAAAAAAAAAAAAAAGAATCCAATAAAATCACCAAGTGGAGTTGTTAAAGTGTAACTTGTTTACACTCTCTAATTGCGCTCAAATTTTTATTTGATGAGATGTGAAATTTTTAGAGATTCAGTTTGAAAAGAAGTGCTGGTCGCTACAAGGGTCGCGGTGCTGCCCGCAGCCATCCTCTGATCTGCAGGGGGGCGGCGCGCCTTGCTGTTTAGGCAAAGGAGTGGTGATGAGCGCTGACCTTTCAGGGCGCCAACTTCGCAGCTTGCAGGGCGTGCCCGATTTGGACGCGTTAGTTGATAGCATTCCCACACGCGAGTTGCGACTCAGCAACAACCTGCTGGTGGACCTGTCTAGCCTTGAGCTCACGCTACAGCACGTGACGACTCTCGACCTGCGCCACAACCGTCTGCGCTCCTTGCAAGGCATTGCACACCTCCCAAACGTGGTCGACTTGAACCTTGCTCACAATCAGCTGCGATCTCTTGCTGGAGTGGAGCGCCTTCCCCGCTTGCGGCAGCTCAACGCCAGCTACAACGCTCTTCGCTCCCTGCATAGCCTCGCCAGTGCAGGCGCTGCTTGCCCGGAGCTGAGCTCTCTGTGCCTTCACAACAATCACATTCAACCCTTGGCCGACCTTGGCTGGCTGGCTGGTACGCAGTCCTTTGCGTTTTGCTGAAACACAGGCCGAGGCTGAGCGAATGTAACTCACGCCTTGTGCCTCTTTTGCTCCGGCTCAGGTTTGATCGCGCTTCGGAAACTGCGTCTTCGCGACCGCCCCGATCGTCAGCTGCAGCTGCAAACTCATGGCAACACCGTCTGTGATCAGCTCAACTACGCCAGTACCGTTCAAAGCTTGCTGCCACACCTGCAGTACTTGGATGGTGAACCTTTGCTCTCAAAACGGCAGCATCTGTCAGCCCACGCCCGTGTTGCCCACCCAGCACCCGCGACAATGCCACCGCACGAGCCTGATCGTGTACATACTTTGACAGCCTCTTCAGCCGATCCTCGTACTCGTGTGCACTCCCCATCATCCGAGTCCTGGCCACATTTACAAAACGTAGCCATGGCCTCTTCCGCATCGGCCTCGGCGGCATCGTCCCAGTCCTCCTCTCCGGACAGGGCCCCTGCCGCACCTCTAGATCATAGCCACGCCCGAGATGGGCAGCCCAATTTTCAGCGCGACCCGCTTGCAAAGGTAGACATTCAGGTTCCTCGCCCTTACGCTCATACCCCTCATCCCACCTCGTGACACTCTTGTTCATTTTCTGTCGTGTGTGGCAACTCTAGGCGAGACAAGCTTTACAGACACCCGCTGCCCACAGTCAAGCAGGTGCGTTTTGCCTGTGGGGGAATGCGTGCTAACTTTACGGCCACGTTGGATGCAGAACAGCCAGTAACGCGGTCAGGCGTTGCCTATCTCGCCCACGATAGGAGTTTTTCACCGCTTGGAGTCAGAGATTGATGCATTACTGGCCAGCGTGCGCCTGCGACCTGCGCCGCCAGTGGCCTCGGGCTTACCTCAGAACGCGCAAGCGTCAGCACCATCAGCTGCCCTGCCTCCTGACGTCCCTTCCCGCATTCCGGTGCGGGCTCCCACGTCTCGTGCGAGTGCATCTGCTGGCTGGGAGCCGTGGCCCAGCCTCGCAGAGGAGGGTGTAGACTCTGATGATACCACCTCAACCAATGGTTCCATGCATACAGCGGTCCCTTCCGAAGTGACGGGATCAATGCATTCATCTGTTTCTCCGAATCACAGCCCTGGTTTAGAGCGGGATGACGAAGGCAATGCCTCGGACGACCAAACAACCTCGCCACCAGTTCTGCTCTCCCGTTCGCCCACCCTGCTGCCCACACCCAACGCAGCAGCGCCGGTAACAAAGGGTGAGTTTTGGCGGTTACGAGCAGCACACGATTCGGTGGAGCAACTCCTGGGTAAAGAGTTGGCAGCGGAGCGACAACGACGTCATGATGCCGAGACGGCCATGCAAGACATCAAAGCTCAACTCCAGCACGAACAACACCGTAGCTCCAGCACGCACTCACGGTGAGATCCTGGGTGATTAGAGCTTGCTTAGAAAGTCATCTCTCAAGGTTTATTGCACAGGCTGGATTTGGCGGCACAAGTGACTGGACTTCACCTCTCACTTTGAATGGCTGTTTCCGTTTCAGGCATGCCCAGGCCGTGGCAACCATCAAGCGACTCGAGCAGAGTCTCACGGCCGCCAGTTTACGCATTGATGAGCTGACAGCGGCACGGTCTCAATTGCGCGATCAGTGCCATCGTGGCGAGGATCGCGTGGAGAAGTTGCTTTTGCAGTTGGAGAGCCAGCAACGCCAACAACGAGAGGAGGCTGCGGCACGGCACACAATGTCCGAGAAGCTCTTGGCTGTGAAAGAAGAAATGCAAGAGCTAAAGATGAGCCAGGTGGATCGCATAAAAGGCCTTGAAATCGAGTTGAGTGCTGCTGTTCAAGAAGCAGACCGCTGCAAACGCGCTGAGCGCGCTGCACGGCGTCAAGTGTCTCAGTTGCAAGAACTTCTTGCCGAAAAGGAAACCGCCAACCGGACCAACAAGGAGAATCTTGTGCGCTTGGACGGACCAGAGGTCGAGCTCAAGCTGCAGCGCATTGAGGCGGACGCGCGGGATCGTGAATTAGGACTTGAGCGACAATGGCGTGAACGCGTGGACTTTGAAAAGGAGTACGTTTTATTGCTTCAATGCTGTTGATTTTATTAAGCATTGGATGTTGCCCGAGGCATTTTCATTGGGGATTCACGGGTGGCCACGCAGGCGCTACCGGCAATTGGAACAGGAATTTCAAGCTGCTTTGCAATATGAGGGCAGCCGTCATCATGAGGTGGGGCGGGTCATGCCATGCTTGAGCTGGCTGCCTGAGTTGCATGTTGCAACTGATGCTAAACGTACACCTTCCTCTTCAACGTTTGGCACAGCTTGAAACGGCGTATCGCGACGAGATGCACAGAGCTCATCAACTGCAATCAGAGCTCAGCGTATATCAAGCCAAGGTGAGGGCCTGCTCTGTCCCTGTGTTGGTGCAGCTAACTGACGAGTGCAATTCCAACTGCAGCACTGCTCGTTGGCAACCAGCTAATGCTCTGTTCTGCTCTCGTCTTAGGTTGACGAGGCCGCAGATGTGACCATGCAGCTTACTCGTCTTGTGGAGGAACAGCGCGCAAAGCTGCACCAGCAGCAGCATGACCTTGATGAGGCCACGCAATCGTGCGTAGGCCCACAACCCGTGTTCGGTTGAGAGGCTCAGTGGCGAGACTCCGTATAACTAATATTTGGGGGACTCGCATTTCTGTTGTAGGCTCGGTCGCTGCACTCAGGAAATGCAACGCCACCGCGAAGTCGAAGCTGTAGCGGTCGGCAAAGCCGACGAGCTCGCTCGACAAGCTCGCCAGCTTCAGACCAAACTCACTGCGCAGGAGAGTATCATTCATGGCTTGCGCGAAGAGCGCAATCTATGGAGCAAGGAGTTGGCCGAGCAGGTAGATTATGATGACATTTGAGACTGCTGTGACGGCGTCGTTCTTGTGCTTGTTTGCTGCGCCAAGCCTTTGAGCACGGCTCAGACCAGGCTCATGTCCGTCTTTGTAGGGTGCATCCTTGTCTGCCAACCGCGGCAAGCTGGAAAGCCAGCTTCAAGCTGCTCTCGATGCTGCCGAAGCTATCAAGGCCGAGCGAGGACGTTTGGATGAGGCGCTACGCATCAAGGTGTGCTGCTACCTACTGTTACCAGTGTTTACGTGCAGACGGCGCCATACCAAATTGTGCTGACCGCACTTCTCACTTTGCTTTATGTTGAATGGGCATTTGATGGTGCTTAGACCAAGGTGGCGGAGGATCAGTCTGAGACCATCAAGAATCTTCGCGTGGCCGTCGCTGAGAAGGAGCGAGTAATTGATCGCTTGCGAGATGACCTCAAGGAACAAGAAGCAGAGTGGAAAGATCGCTTGAGCAAGGAACGCGACATGTATGAAACCATCAATGGTGAATTGCAGGTGCGTCGCGCGCTCGCCTCTGCCTTCCTCGAGACGTTCGGCACCTTTAACTTGTGTCCGGTGTCGTGGCTGAACAGACGGCGCAAGCGAAGAAAAGCGACCTCAAAGCTGCCTTTAGCGACCTCAAGAAGGAATATGACTTGGCGTTGCTTGACAATGAGCGACTTCGGTTCGTGTCCTCTTCATGCCAGCAGCGTGTCTTGCCGACCAACTGTCTTGACCACCTTCTCACCCTCACTCGTCGCAGAAATCTATGGCAGGACACCAGCACTCAACTCGAGACCTTGGAACATCGAGTTGGCAGCATGCACCAGGTTGGTTCAAAACTTATTTTTTTTCTAGTTATCCCAAGTGCGTCTGCATTAGTATTTACAATCGACCGTTTTACTTCGTGACTGGACAGGAGCACGAGACGCAGTTGGCCAATCTCAACAACGACATTACGGAGCTGCAACGTGTCCTTGACGCTGAGCGGACAGAGCATGCCGAGGTCAAAACCAGTTTGATGGATCAACTTCGACAGAGTCGATTGAAACAGGAGCAACTCAACGCAGCGCTGCAAGATGCTGGCACCGAACTGCAAGAGGCAGAACGCAGCTTGACGTCTCTGCAGCAAGAGCTGACAGCACTTCAGGCGGAGCGGGATCGCGCTCAGCGCAACGCCGACCTGAAACTTGCGCGCATGAAACAGCTGATGGCTGAGTTGGCCAATGAGGGCTGACGAGTTGTTGCACAACAAGGATGTCATCATGAAGCATCTGGTGCAGATCCACGGGGCAGGAGGTGATGCAACTGGGCCATGGTGATGAGCATGGTCTCCTGCCGAAACAGGCAGATGAAAATGCAAATGTTAGTCATGATATTCTTGCACGATTTTGAATCATGGGTTACAGCCAAGCTGAGCTTGAATTGAGGGCAGATGATGGCCTCTTGAATGCCTGCCTCTTCATACCTCAGTGCGCAGCGATCGAGAACCATGGCCCGACAGCGGGTTGAGGTAGGCGTCAAACAGCTCGGTGGGGTCTCGGGCTTCGAGCTCAGAGTCAGCCGCTACAATGGCCTCCAAGCTTACCGTTCCGCCAAACACGACAAGCAGATGACTATTTCAAGGGATGGGATCAGAATCAGAGCCATCAATGCTCATGCATGGGATGCATGGGCGGAGGTGGATAGCTACGGCCACAAAAATGTGATGGTATAGAGCGGTTGAACGTGGCATACTTGTAAGCGGCGTGTTTGTGCAGATGAAGCTTGTTGAGAGGCGACCCCTTGTCAGAGATGCCAATTGTCAGGTCATAGCCTCCAGGATAGGGGCTCTGCTTGAACACTTGCTCAATGTCTTCGGCTAAGCGGACCTGCCAAGTCATGGTGCCAGAGACGCGAGTGCTGTGCGAATGAGGGCCTTGGGTGAAAGGATGAGACGGACCAAACGGCAAAAGGGGCTATGGCAGGTACCTGGTAGCCCCAGTAGAGATCCATGGCTTGGCGAGGCTCGGTTGGTGCCACAGCCTCGCCTCGATACAGCGTTTTGAGCTTTTGTTTGTGCAATTGCGCCTCATTCAGCTTGATAGTCACGCGCATCTGTGCCAAAAGAAAGTTGTAAGAGCCCAGCAACGAAGAAGGCACAGCCGTCATCTCTCTCGTGGGATACATGGCTTGGTCTGCAGCTTTGGTAACTATCAGACAACAAACCTTCGGGGGAAGCACTTTGCTGATGATGGCCGCTTTACGCAAACCAACTTCGACCAGAGTGCCGGTGCCTAAGAACGTCATCAGGGCCAGTGAATGATAAATTTTCTATGCACACACGCACACGTCCTTGGCAGACATGGCAGCGACGACTGGACCTTTGCGTGGCCGCTCCTCGAGGGTGACGCCTTCGCGAAAGACGCTGATGTCAGAACTTCGCTGCAGACGATCGCATGGCCACAGCGGGCAATGAGTATAGCAAGGTCGTGGGGCCATTAAGGTTCATCTGAATGAGCATTGCCAGCAGAATTGGTACCGTATGGTGGGGTGCATCCAAAGGTGGCAGCAAACCAGCAAACTTGAGATCTCTATCCAGAGGAGAAACCAATGAAGGAGAGGGCGTACAGAAAAGCAGTAGGCCATGCCAGCGCTCCAGGGTGGAGAATCCACTGCGACCTGCCAACACCACCAAAACACCACTAGACCAGGGCCGGATTCGGCGTGATTGCATAGACCCACCGATGAATAGGAAAGAGATGTTTGCGAAGATATTGTGGGCAGTCGAGATATTCAAGGACTCGCGCCATAAACAATTCAGGTTCTTTCATAGTCTTGGAGCTGTGGTGGCGTGCGCGTTGGTCTGGCTTGTCCGATGCTGGTGTTGATTGGCCCTGCTGCAAAGGAACACCTGAGAGCAAGGCGCAGAAAAAACGTGCCAGTGAATTAAAGAGGCATGCAAGCAGTGAGCGTTCCCTTGGAGCATGGCGGCACGGCGCGGGACTGACCCTGTGTGGTGCCTCGTGCCAAGCCGGGCTGCGTGCACTTATCCTTGAAGATGACAATCTCATCGGCTCGGAAGATCACCGCCGCACGAGCAATCTGGCCAACCAGGTAAGCACGTAGCTCTGCTGATTGTGCATTTGCCACAAGCGAGCCAGGAATGGCCAGGGATACGGTGGCATTGGGTGCTGGCTGCGGACCTGCAGGATGAGCCAAACAGGAGACCACGAAGGCAGACGACACGTCAGCAACCTGGGTACGGGGGCTGTCATTGATGTTCAAGACAAGAAAACCTACTTCCAGGAGAGTTTGATGCGGCCTTCGATGGCTCGGGATCAACACCGTCGGTATCAGCGGCTACTCCACTCTGGGGTTTAAGCTGTCCTTCCTTGGTTGATGACGATGGGCTCTGAAGCCAGGCGGGCACGAAACCGGAGCGCTTGGTGGGCAAACCTAGCTTATCTTCGTGTTGACTCGTAGGGGTCTGGTAGTGGGTTTCACCATCGTCGTCGCTACCAGACAATGCCTCAGTATGGCCACCATCAGCGGTGTCAGTGATGTTCTCGTTGATGTTGTCGCTGCCGTCGTCGTTGTCGCTGTCATCGTCGTGGTCATCGTCCATGTTCATCGCTTCGGCGTCGTCGTCCTCGCTGCCGTCGGATGAAACAGATGCCTGGTCGCTGATGGGTTTGCTATGTTTATCCGCTTCGACTTCGCTAGCCTCACTTTCGACGTCAGAATCCGATGAATCGGATTCGGAAGCCCCGGCCTCGGTGGCAAGCACACTGAAGGATGGCAGCCGAGGTACGCTCGAGGATGGCACCTCATCTGTGGTTGTCGATGGCCCTGCTGCCGGCTCCTCCTCATCACTGCTCTCTACTAGCAAGGGGTCCTGCTTGGCGGGTGTAGCCTCCTTCTGCTTGGGGGCTCCGCCACTTTGGGGCTTGGCAGCAGCATCCTTCCGTTTGGGTCGTTTGGGCGCTACGGTACCGTCACTTTGGCGGCGATCGCGGGCTGGCGGAGCAAGGCCAGCCGCTCGCGCAGCCTCACGCTCCGCATTGGCCAAAGCCACGGCAGCCGCCCGCTTCTTGCCCTTGGCGCGAGCCTTCTTGGACTTGACCATTGTGCAGCGTCGTGTCAAGCCAAAGATCAAAATAGTCAAAGAGATCCACGTGTGTGTGTGTGTGTGTGTGTGTGTGTGTGTGTGTGTGTGTGTGTGTGTGTGTGTGTGTGTGTGTGTGTGTTCTTTTTGTTGTTCTTTGTGTTGAACATGAGAATCGGATAATTTGTTTGTGGGTAAGATTTGTCTCGCTCAGAACATGTTCGGCGGTCGAGATGCACCACAAGAATTGATTTGGAGATGCCTCAAGAAGAAGCAGGCTTGACATATCATCTATTGAAGACCCAGCTATTCTATGAAATTGGGTCGGTAGCGGCGGGTGGCAGGAGGTTGCCAAGCTTAATCTTGCAGCATGGCCACGGCTGAGAGCCCCTGTGTAAAAATGGCTGCTTGCTTGAGTGGATCACTCTTCTTTGCAACTCGCTGGACCATTTCAGACAAGGCCTCCACAATTTGGGCCTCTTGGGCCAGCGGTGCACCGTCGGCTCGGGCATCGGTGATGATGGGCGCGAGCAATAACGCAAGTTTGCCGGCCTCTTCCTCCTCCGTAACCAGATGAAGGTTGCGAGAGACGCGAGGCAACCAGTCATCAAGGGGCTTGAAGAGCTTGCCATAGGCCGCGTACAGCATAACAGTGTTGCCACACAGGCTGTTCATGGGTGAGCTTTCGTCATCGGGTCTCACCTCGAGTTCCAAGATGGGAAGTGCAAGCTGCAGAATGGCCTCGACCGAGTCACGGAAGTCGGGGTTCGTCACCACTTGTGTGGCGGCATAGGTACTAGCAATGCGCAGATTGATGTCGCCATTCATGCCTTCCACAAGATGCGCTTGGCGCTGCTTCAACAAATCCCGACAAATGGGCGCAGCCCGCTCGTAATGCGTCGCCAAGTCCGCCAAGAAACACAAGTAAACATGTTCGCACAGGGGAGAATTCTCGTCCTTGTAGGGTCAAGAGCGAGAAACACAAACGTCAGAGTCGAGCGACAGCGCTGCAGCAGAGATAAAGTGGAGCAACAAGCATCACCTTCCCAGCGCCAGACCTGACTGGCTTGATCGGCAACTTGAATGCCGACTCTACCACTTGACTTACCCAATAGCTGACGATTTGTCCTACACAGGCTTGGATGTAGTCATTTCCAGGAGCAGCGATCCATAGATGGACGACCGCCTCTTCGCACGAAATGAGTGTGTTGGCAAGGACGCTCATAACGTCGGCGTCAGGCATGCTGGTATCGTCATCCTCGTCCTCATTATCACTTCCTTCCTCATTCTCGTCTTCATCCTCATCCTCCCATTCGTCGTCGTCATCCTCCTCCTCCTCCTCGTTGTCGTCGTTGTCGTCCATGTTGTTACCACCCGCTTGGTTATTCTTGCGACCCATGTTGCGGGCGATGCGTTGAAGGCCGGTCTGGATATTCTATAGAAGGGTACCCGTCGGGTTCATGAGTGTTGCTTGCAGGGTATGGACTTGGGCCAAGCAGCAGTCACGAGTTGCTCATTCATAGCGGGTTTAGAGGAGATGCGAGACACATCGCAAAGCAATCGAACAAGCAGGCAAATCCCACGGGTACGACGCTCACTTCAAAAATTGCGCCCATGAGAGGTCCCAACACTTGACAGGTTTTCTCCAACACGTCGTGGTTTTCGGCGGCATACTTTGCCAGGTTCAGGAAAAGCTGCCCAAAGGCTTGCAACCACTCCTCACCAAACTCTGCCTCGTCGTCTCCAAGGATGCTGATCAGCGTATTCCCACAAACTTCAAGCCCCAAGCTTTGACCGAGATGAGCTTCACCATGAAGGTTGGCTTCTTGGCAGCACCGGTTTAAAACTTGTACCGTCTCTTCATTGATGCGTACATTTAGGTTTGAAATGGCCTCCACGATGAGTCGGGATATATCTTCCAAAAGCACGCTTGGCACACGAGGGAGCTCCTCCAGCACAGCGTGAATGATTCGAGCACCCGCTTTGACAACATCCGAGCCAGAGTAATCAATCACTTGATTGATCGACCCCATGACCAAAAGCTCACAATATGGCAACGCCTCATACGTAAGGACCTGGTCCGCACCGATTTGAAAGAGGTGATGTGCTGGGCATGCCAGGGCTTGAAGGCCTGCCCGGAGCAGGTCCTCGGCAAAATCGTTGGTAAGTTCGCCATGGTGACGAAGCATGCTTTGCACGTCTGCGCGTGAGGCAAAGCCAAACCAACCATGCAATGAGAATGGAGTCCTAGAAAGGAAGCAAGGACAAGAAGGACACCAAGAAGGACAACCACAATGGTCCGGCCGTCCAATTGAGCAAGTCACACGAACTGTTTGAGAACTCCTCAGCAGCCACGGCTATTTCGTGAGAGCACTCCTGATCCAGAGGAAGCGTGTTCCAGGCCCTGATAATAATGGTCAAGAGCTGGCGCCCAGCATCCAGACATTGTTCCCCTGGGTTCATCGCAAAGGTGGCCAAGCATTCTGCGGCCTTGGAGAAAAAGCGCGAGGTGGGCTCGAGATCTGGCTGGCGCAAAATTGCCAGCAATAATGGCTGTAAGGCTGCCAGATAGCGTACGCTCTCCTCATCCAGGAAATAGGCGCTAATTCCCGCCGAGACGGAATGATGCCGTGAGGTTACGCGGGACAAAGGGTGCGAGTAAGTCATTCAAAAACTAGCTGAGACCAGCATACCTGGCAGCCATGGCGGACAAAGCAGCCATTTGCATGTGCAAGGAAGGCAATGTGGGCAAGGAGGGCACCAGTGTCTGAATGATGCGATGTGCTAGTTCCTTGCACTTGGCTGAGGCTGCTTCCTGCAGAACCGCAAAAGAAGCAGGAGAAATGAACAAGATGCGATGAGGATCCCTCAATCACCAAAACAATAAGCAAGAGCGAAGAAAGCAGAGGAAAAGATGTGTACCTCGACCAGATTAGTGCTACTGGTCATGATATTGACGGCACAGGACAAGGCATGTGATCGCACGCGCAGAGAGGAATCGGCTTCAAAAGCTTGAACGCAGGCTTCCAAAAACGAATTGCTGTGTACTTGGAAAAGCCGAGTGTCTACAGCATCGGAGGAGATTTGACCCAGCGCTTGAAAGGCACCGTGGCGCACACGAGGATGGGGGTCCCGAGCACGCGCGAGCAAGAGTTCTGCCATGGTGTCAGCAAATTCGTTCAGGACGACATGGGCATGCTCTGCAAAGATGGAGAGGACGATGAGAGCGGTGCGCCGCTCCATCCAGTCTGGAGAGGTCAAGGCTTGGCTGAGGATTTGAAAGATGGGCTCCATGAAATGGTCAGCAAAGAGGGAAAGAAACGAGTCCAAGCTCCCCTCAGCCATGACGCCGGGCGTAACGTCGTCCTCATCACGTGAAGTCATGGGCTCCTCTTCCTCCCAAGCTTCCAAATCACCCTGGGAGGCTTCACTGTGGGTCGGATCCATCTTGATGCAGGTCCAAATGGTGCGAATGCAATTGATGGCCAACGGCTGATGCTCCAGCAGCCAGGATGGAATGCTTGCCAAGAAGCTGTCGATAATCGTCACAGCCTGGGCTCGAATGTCATCAGGTAGCTCCACATTTTCGGCAATGGTAAAGGTTATAGGCAGCATAATGGCACCATACTTCCGGCCAAGCGATGACTGATCCACGACCAACTACAAAATGGTACAAGCCCAAGCCCAGGGAAGAAAGGGAGCGGCAGGGGAAGTGCAATGCATGAAAGCCAGCAGCCTTGGTCTTCACCTCCTTGCTAGCCAAGCATATGGTACACGGCCTGCTAGGCGTTCGTACCTGCCCCAAAGCCGAGATGGCGCTGGCTGCCAGTTGAATGATTCCTTGGTAGAGCATGGCGGGTTCTTGTTCAGCAACGGCCTCTGGGGTCATCTTGTTGAGGTCTGTCAAGACGGGTAGCATTTTCTACGAGGCATGCCAAACCGTCGAGGGTTGGGAAAGAAAAATACAATACAACACACCACAGTACAGCAAAAGAGAGCAGAAAAACAAAAGCACCGATGAGCTGCTCGTCCCAAAATGAGATGTGTGTGTGTGTGCGCGTGCTTGCGCACCTACCGCCTTGAGAAGTCGGGTAAAGCTGGCGGGTGGCTTCTGCTCGTAATGCGAGCCCAGTTCGAGCAGAGCCCGAAAGGCTCGCAGCATGATGGGCGAACAATCATTTTCAAGCAGCGGAGCAACGACTTCGCGGATCATGCCGGAGAGGTAGGCATCGTCCACGTCAGTGATCAATAAGTACATGTTGCTGCACATTAAAAGTTCAGCTCCTACAAAGAGATCCTCCGTATGCTGCTGACGTGCGAGCTGGCGGAGGTGCGACTGCATGCTGGTGGCAATCGGTTCACTAAGAATGGCACATCGTCCCATTACTTGACATGCGATCAAGCGGGTGGGGAGGCTATTGGGTTCTTCTCGAGGTAGGTTGAGACCGCGCTCAATGATCGGCAGCGCCATGGCCATGTACGGCCGGAAGGCATCAAGATCATGCAGCTTTGTGGAAACAAAAACGCGCAGTAAGAGCGCCAAGGCAATGACCAGACGAGACTCGGCCAAGGCGAGCAAGTCTTGCAAAAATTTGGCAATGTCGTTGTTTAGCATGGCAAGCAAAGCTGCATCAGTGGCATGAATTTGCGCAATGTTGCGGTGCTCAGCATAATCATCCTCATTGTTCATGAGGGTCTGAAGTTCATCAGCATCCATTTCAGCCAAAGGTGTGACCGGCTCGTAGGGTTGTCGAGGATCCACCCCGCACATTAAAAGCGCGTTCCAGGCGTCCGCCGCTTGGTCCAGCGTTTCGATCGCCCCATCCATGCTTGCGGTGCGAACCCCGTCCTCCCAGCACTAATAATGAGGAATCCGGGTGTGAAGACATGATGGGCCTCTCTTCACAGCCAATACCACAGGTGACCGCTCATCCAACAAGCCAGTGTCGAATCAATCACCAACACCCGCATTGGCACGCAAGGGATCAGCAGACCAGGGGCAAAACGTGCAGCAGGACTACTAACCTTGAATGAATCCCGATCTCGATCGTCAATCATGCACTGACAACAACTTGTAAAGTTGCCCCCACGCCCCTAACTGCACATCTCATTGGTGTTCTATTTGTTGTTTTTCAGTGTTGTCGTTGGTTGTGGTTTTTTAATGGTGTTTGTTCCTTTTGTTTCCCTGTTGTTACATGTGGTAGTTGTGCCTTGCTCTTTATCTCTCTCTCTTTCATCTCTCTTCTCTCTTCTCTCTCTCTCTCTCTCTCTCTCTCTCTCTCTCTCTCTCTCTCTTCTCTCTTCTCTCTTTTTTTTCCTCTCTCTTCTCTGCTCATTGTCAAATGGCAGTGGGCGGAGATCATCATCACATGTGTGGGTAGGGAGGACGGTACTGTTTGTTTGCTTCGGCGGCTTCGTCGTGCCGTATAACAGGGCCCGCTAAGATGGCCAGCCGGACGTCGCCACGGCGTAGCAAGACGGCAAGCGGTTCTGGCACACCGAGCCAACGCAGCAGCCGAGCTGGCACCCCAAAGGCCTCGCCTTCCTCAACTCCAGGGCCCAAAAAAAAGGGCAATGCCCAGAGTCGTATCGTGGCAGACTTCAACGCTGGCAAAGCAGCCCTTCGGGCAGAGGAGCATGTTCAGGCCTTGGAGCATTTTGATGCCTGTCTTAACGCCATTGCCGCCACACCGGCGCCGAGTGATGCTCTTCTTCGGGCGCAGAAAGAAGCCCTCCTTCAAGCCTTGCGCTGTCATGCTGAACTAGGTCAGGCCGTGGACGGCCTTGATCGCGGTGCCCTGGCGATTGCCCTTTATTTGCCTGCCAACACCTATCCTGACCGTGTTCGTGCGCCCCACACTTTGGCTATGTTGGGCGACCTTGTCGACGACGTGACCACACACGTGGCAGACCTGGCCGACAGCGAGGGCACCAATGCGCTCACCAACGTGTTGAATTTTGCTGCCGCACAAGCAGTGCGGCTTTTGCCACACTGCTCCACCTCCACGAGCTGCTGGCAAGCGCTTGCTCTGATGCTGGTGGCAGGCGAAGAGCTCACGACTTGCGCTCAACGCGTAGCACCTGCATTATTGACCAGCGTGCAGGATGCTCCAGAGCCTTGGAGTTGCGCTTTATTGATGGACTTGGTTGCAACTGTACCGCTGGTGCTGCCCACAGAGCCGCCGCATGCACTTGTCGCAGCATCGTGGTCAGCTATGCTGGTGCTACAACTCATTCTCAGCCACGACGAAACTCGTGTCCGACGCTGGCAGCAAGGCTGCTCAAATCATACGTGCCAGCAAGGCTCCGTGCATGAGTTGGTGCGGGCATGGCTGGCCATGGATCACGATGGAGTAGAGCTTGGGTTGTATGCGTTGCGAGGCCACGTGTCGCCAAAATTGCTATCCCGACTCGTGGCATCTGCCTCGCGTCGGCGCTTGGGGGTCTAGAAGAAAAGCGTCTTGGCAGAGGCGTAGACGCGATACTGTGCTGACAGCGGGGGGTTGCACTGGAGTGTCCATAAGTGGTGTTTGTTCGCGGTTTGAGTCGCAGGTTGCATCTGAGAAGCACAAATAAGTACGGAGTCTTTTAATTGAGCCACAATTTACCCTCCTGTCATCGCTACTTGCCACACCAGGCCTACACCAAGTGAGCTGTCTGGTCCAGAAGCAGCTCCCGAACGACACGATAGCGCAGCAAATACACGTCACCGCGTCGAACATCGCGAAGGACCAAATCTCTACGAGGCATTATACACATGCATGAGTTGGTAGTCAACAAGCCTTTGGCTAGCCTAGCTAGCTCCATCATGTCGCGAATTCCGCGCGGGAAAACCACCAAAAAAAAAAAGAAAAAAAAAAAAAGCAAGCGTTTTCCGAATCGACCACAGACCGGTCTGCAGGGTCCTCGCTGAGCGGCAACACGTCGAGCGGGGCATCGAATTGGCAAAACACATGACGATCCAGGTTGGGCTGCTCAATAATTTGTGGATCATTCAGTGAACGGAAGTTCTCTAGGGTTAAGGGTTGATGAAAGTCATCATGTGCGTGGCGCCACATGGTCAGCAAAAATTCCATATTGCAGGACGGCTTCGCTGCTCCTGACAGCACCAGGCACCATCCCAGGAAACCAATTAAGAGCGAGATGAGGTGGCGGCACACGACGGACCTGGAATTTGCTGCAAAAAGGCTTGATCCAAGTGATTTTGCAAAATCCGACGATAACTGCAAGTTGGTTGGCAAAAGAAAGTATCATCAATACAAGCGCGCATGCAATCGAACGTGCAGGGGCTGAAAAAAAGCCGCGCAAGGTTTCATGACGCACTTGCTCACAAAAGCACGCTCTTGCGGGGACAACCGGCGAAGCTGGTCTTCGTTGTGGACCAGATGGAAGATGTGTTGTTCAATTTTGCGCAAGCGGGCGCGTAGGTATGAAGACAAGAGATATCGTATCCGATCCATCTCCATGCGATAAATGGCAAACGCAAACTTGGTGTTCAAGTCTTGGTAGGCCCCGGCCTCAGCTTGCTCGTTCTACGTGGTGCAGCAGTGCCACCAAATCCAGAGTGGCGAGTCAACACTGGCAGCGACGTGCCAATTGGCTGCTTGGAGCCAGACGAGAACAAGGAGAGTATAGCTGGAATATAAACAGTTGGAATGAGTGGAAGCCGCATGAGTGGAAGCCGCACGTACCTGTGCAGTCACGGCATCGTGGAGCCAACGCACGGCGTCGGTCTCGAAAGGGAGAAGCTCTGGCGCGTTAACCTCGTTTAGCCATGCTTGCCTGAACCAGCACGAGCAAATGAGGCAGCATTCATGAAGCTGCGGTGCAGCGCCAGTGCAGCAACAGACAGAGGCTGGGCGATGGAATTTCGCACACTCACTTTAAACGCTTGAGTCGATCGCGAGCCAGGTGCTGCGGTGGTTGCGACGCATCCTCGTCCTCCATGGCTGCTCGGTTCGAGTTTTGAGTTTTCTCGATGGATGTTCCCCCAGAAAAAAAAAGCAAAGACCTTTTTGCTAAACGGTCACTTTTTGTCAGATGAATTTTTTAGCAGGCAGCGATGACAGTGTAGTGTGTTCAAACAAAAGTGCTTGACATGGCGACATTGAATTATTCGAGCTACTCGCGCTTGCGGGCAAACGCCACGGCCGTGCGCGCTGGTAAATACACCTATCAGATGGTTGTTGCTACATCAGGCCTTTGAAATTTTTATTGGGGCAAGGTAGAAATGAGGGCCTTACCAGCATGCTGTGGGGGCGTTCATGCCACGGTTGTCCTTCCGTAAAGTGAATCGTTTCGCCGTCAATGCGTTGGTGTCCTGCAAACCAAGGTACCCAGGCATACATGTACCACCCATAAGACAACGTCGCAACAATCTATGCACAGCTGACTTGAACCGACCTCCAAAGGTCTCATCATCTGTACACAGGATTGCCTGGTAGGAGCCGGGGGCACCGACGCCCAATCGGTAATCCGAATAGCTTTTATGAGCATGAAAGTTGAAGGCAAACACAACCTCGTTGCGCTCGAAAACAATCAACTAGGCAATGGCCAAGTTGAACAATAAAATGTTTTGACACAGATAGTACGAAAGGATGAGATATAGCCAGCGCGGTCGCTTGGCTTGCTGGCAGCAGCAACGCAAGTATGACGGCCGCAAGTGCCCAACCTTGTCCGCTTCATGTTTCAAAGATACAAAAGCCGGTGCCGAGTTGAGCCAGTGATGTGCTTCTTCAGCGCAATTCATCTACACAAACCAACCAAGGCACAGAACAAGGCGTTCATAAACGTCTGAACCAAGTGTAGCACACGACAGAGGTGCGCATGCAGTGTGTACTACATACCGCTTTGTCAAAGTTGTTGAGAAACTTGTAACGCAACAGCTCGTCATCGACTAGATTCCATTGTCGGCGCGCGTGCTGGTAGCTCTCGCTGCCACAAACAAGAGCAGAGTGAGCTAGCGGAAAAACATGTTCAGGGACAGACGCGCGGTGGTGCTCATTGCCGACCTACCCGTTGCCTTCGCGCGGAAAGTCCAGCCACTCGGGGTGTCCAAACTCGTTGCCTGCGAAAAGTACACACGCGCCGGATGGCAGTACCGCAAAAGACTCATCGACTGAGCTCACAAACTGGACATCTCGGCGTCTGATAGGTGTTGCTGTGAACATACCGATAAAGTTGAGATAGCCTTCGCCTCCGAGCGCGTGAGTAATGAGCTGCACATCCAGCAGGCCGCACCGAATCAGACCTCAAGCCACATCTCAAACGGTGCGAGGCGAGCAAGGGCATTGGGCGTGGTTGGGCATACGCGAATCATTTTATGAAGGGCTAGGCCGCGGTCAACCACCGTGGTCAACTCTGACAGCACGGACATGTGCGTGTACATCTATGACATCACAGTATGGCACGACGAGATGTTCCACGTCAAGTCCACGAGAGGAAACAAGCTTCAGGTAGCTCGCCATGTGACAAGGCGATACAAACCTCCTTGTCCATGAGCCAGAAAGCCACGGTCTTGTCACCCACGAGCGCTTGGTCGTGGCTCTCCACGTACGCAATTGTCGGCTCCATGTAGCGCCGATTCTCGAGGTTGAAGCAGATGTTGCCCATGTCCCACTCCTCGTCGCTTTGTTCCTGCGAAGCCAAACACCGTGTACGGCGGTTAGGTCAAGAACAAGCTGCTGCGCTTGTGAGCAGCGTTGGCGTGGCCGACGACGCTCACCTTGAGCATTTTAATCCACATGTCTGGAATCGCCATTCCCAGCTTGTAGTCAAAGCCATAACCACCCTCGGCTTCTGGCCGGCACAAGGCTGGCAATGATAGCATTTCGACCACCGAGACGAACGGCAGCAGTTCACGGCAAGATCAATGAAAATTAAGGATCATGCGCGATCGGACTTGGTGGGTTCTTTCATCGCGCGATTTACATACCAGGCATGCCGGATACCTCTTCAGCGATTGTCAGGCCATCGGATAATAGCTGTTGATAGCGTGGCATCATGGTTAAGAAAGGAGCGGCACACTCGTAGAGTTGCCAGCTCTTGTGTTGTTGGAACGAACCGTGTGGACCAGCGTATTGGCCAGCATCAGGTACACGCCAGCATCGACATCGACGCTTCCATCGAAATAGTCGCTGTAACCGGCTATTGGCATCAAAGCAGCCGTTACACAACAGCTGAGCGCAGAAGACAGGGTCGTTTCCTGACAAGCCTGTCCATGTGATAGACCGGCCTCAGAGCGCACCAACGTTTGGGACTTACTGAACACGCGACCGAGGCCGTGGTGTGTGTAGAGCATGGAGGTGACGCCATCGAAACGGAAGCCATCGAAACCATACTGCTCAATGTAAAAGCTGCGGTGTTGCACGGCAAGGGGCCTTTCAGCTCATCATCAAGGTCAGTAGGTTTGACGGCAGGTCTGTGTAGTGTAGCGTACCGCAGGTTGGAGAGCAGAAAGCGCAGCGTCTCCCAAGATGAGTAGTTGAAGAGGCGGCTATCCCACTGCGTTGTATGCCGATGGCACGTCAGTGAGAGCTCGACAACCAGGCTCTGCACGACGCAGTGCAGGGCAAACCAACCTGAGGGTGGTGGCCCCGGGGCCCTCCGTGAAAGTAGCAGCTGTCGGTTCCATCGTACATATTCAGACCATCAGCCGTATTCTTGGACGCGTGGCTGTGCACCACGTCCAACAGCACCTTGATGCCCAAGCCGTGGGCTGTGTCTACGAGACGGCACAGCGCCTCAGATGGCCCGTAGCTGCAGCAGGACAGCCACGCGTTTGGTGTGAGTTCGACTTGAACAACAGCCTGGCCCTCCAGGACAAACCCTGCAGGCTTGGGCCACGTGCTCTTCAGGACAGCAAGGCATTGGGTTGCACCGACCGGCTTGAAGCCGCAAAAAAGGAAGTCACTTGGTAACCAAAGCTGCCGTAGTAGGCATGCTCCATCACAGCCATCAACTGGATCGCGTTGTAGCCCTGGGGGCGAGAGCAATCACGGCCACGAACACAAAGGGTCGGGTAATCGAGTTGTGAGAGCAGGGAATGACAGGTTCAGCGAGCTAGCTCTAAGTTTGTTTCAACAAGAAGCCACAGCACGCACGGCAGCAGCGATTCGAGGCAAGACGTTGTCAGTAAAGTTGTCATAGGACGCAATGCCAGCCTTGGGGCTGGCAATGCCCACATGTGCCTATGGTGGGTAAAATGGCACCATTAGTATCCAAGAGCACGACCCACAAGCACGGTATGTGAAACTGTGTGAGGAAGTACAAAAAGGGCACGGCGGCTTGGCTCGATAGGAACCAAGCTGTCACACCTCGTAAATCTTGAGACCGCTCTTGAGAGTGGGGCGTGCATGCTTAAACTGAAAGTCGAGAAGGGGCTGATACACGCCCTCATAGTAAGGGCCCATGCTCGACTAGATACAAGGGAAGCGTGGGATGAGGCGTGGGGCTGAAGAGCTGCATGGATGGCATGAGGAACCAGTGGTCATTCCTACCGGCTCGGCACGCGTGATCCAGGCTGGGATGCGGTCCAGGCCTTTGCCGTCTTTGGTCTTGACGTGTAGCTAAGGAGTCACCAATGCTGAGGTGAGAAAAGTAGCCGGGGCCTTTTGCTTCAACGACCCCTGCCATCACGCAAATGTGTGTGTTCTCAGACCTTGATTCGCTGTCCAGCTTTGATGCGGGGCTGGCCGTCCTGATCTGGGAGCTCCAAGGTCCAGTTGCCAAAAGCATCGCGCGTGCAGGGATACTCCTCCGTGTTCCAGTCGTTAAACTCGCCTACATTGTCCGGGCACGTAAAACAGAGGTTGCGGGATGTGCAGGTTCAAATCAGTGACGTGTCCTACTAGCTGAGCACAGGCTACAGACGCTCGCTGTCTATTTTCTTCTCTGCCTCTTTCCTGCTGTACGCGCAGACATACCGCAAAGAAAGACGGCTGTGGCACCCGGCAGGTATTCTCGTAAACGCAAGGCTCCGCCATCATGGTGCAGCCCGTAGCGTCTGTAGCTTTTTGCAAACTCGGCCAAGCCGCCCTCATGCTCCTTGAGCGACTTGAGTGCGCGTCGGAAGCGCGAGTATCTACGTGTGCGACAGCAAAAGCGAAGTGAATGCCCACATAGAGTCAGTTCTGAGAACCAGAGCTCTGCAAGGTCGAGCTGTCTACACGGACCGTTCAATGACAAAATGCTTGTGCGGTCGTAGGTGCTTGTCTCGCTCCAGCAGCTGCGTGAACTGTGGCGGTAGCTCCATGGTCGTTGATCAATGCACTCACTGCCAGCTACCCCGTTGACACAGGCCCGTGGCGATACCCTCAACCGCTCAGCCCGGCGATCCTGAGCAATCAAGACCCCCCCAAATCAAATGCAAGACACTGACCAACACCTCCAGCGTTCTATGTGTGTGTGTGTGTGTGTGTGTTCGAGTGCAAGAACACAAATTGTCAGACAAATAGACAAGCACTGAATGCTGACATTTGGATGTCAGAATATTATGAGCTTTTTCTGTTTCTCTTGTGCGAGGGGCGCAGTCTTCGGGCCGTGTGCGGCGGGAACGGCTTGCCAGGGTGCATGTGTGTTGTATATGCATCGTGGGGCTTGAGGAGCTTCCCTTGGACAGTGAAAAGTTTGGTCTAGGATGGAAATATGGGTGTGAAGCCGCGTTGAGAGGGCACGGCAGCATGAAGCGGTCGGCGGGGGAGGCTCACCCCGATGATGAGCGCGTGCCCACGCCCACGCCAACGCCCACGCCCACAGTGGCCGAGAGTGGTACAGGCCCCAACCGGCCACCAGAGCATAAAGCAGATCCTCACAGTGAGCGGCTGCAAAATGAGGCCACCAAGCATGGCCCATCTGCTGCCCAAGGTAAATAAAATGTGGTATATAAAATGTGAGCACAAGCCCGAGGCGGGCAGCAGGCCCCATCTTACCTCTGTCCATCTGTCGCAACCTGCCTCCATCTTAGCTTCCATTACCGACATGATTGATGAAGTGCAGCAACTCGAAGGAATCCGTGGAGTTTTTCGTATCGAGGACCTGATCGGATCCGGTTTGTGAACCGTCACTCCTTTGGGCAGCCCTTCTTAACTTACGCGCGCGCGCACACACACACACACACACACACACACACTGTGACACCGGCTTGTTGTGCGCCCATCTGATTTGATTTGAAACCCATCAGGTGGCTTCTCGACTGTTTACAAGGCACACCATCTTCTCGACGAAGGTATGGGCTTGAACGTACTACCTCCCGTCTTGACCCATCAATTGCCTGCCTCTTTTCGGCGGTGTGTTTTTTCCAAGCCAAAGGGCGGCGTGGCTCACTTGTCTTGTACCGCTTTCCATCGCGACATGGTTTAGATGCACCACCGCTTGCGCTCAAGGTGATCGTGCCTACCACGTCCCCGCGCCGCATTGACCAAGAGATCAAGTGCTTACACATTCTGAGGTATGTACGCTCTTGCCCCGCAGCAAGCTGCATCAGCTGCAAGCGCTACTCACTTCTGCGTGTGGCTCTCAATAGAAATAACGACCATGTCGGCCGGATTCAATGCGTACTTCGCGCCGGGAGTGGTGAATCTACTCGCTGGATTCTGGGTCTTACTTACTTTGAGCATACACCCATCACGGTCGGCCTTTTGCTCTCTCGACTTCTTGGGTGCTTTGCTGAGGCACTGTTTTGGCGACTGACAACTTTGCCTGATTGCTCTACGTGTACTCTTCATGGCTTGCGACCACATGCCGCTGTGCTGTGCCTAATGGATTTTGACTTGCAGTCGGAATTGGTTCAGAAAATGCCTTGGACAGACATGCGGGCGTACATGTTCAGCCTTCTGACCGTCATCAGCGAAATTGTACGCTATTCAACCCCTGCTCCCTGCTCCGCTGCCGCAAATGCAGCCCTGCTCACGCGCTCTTTCCTTGTCAGCATGCATGCAACATGATTCACCGAGATATCAAGCCCACGAACTTTTTATTCCGTGATGCCGACAACTTTCGTCTCATTGACTTTGGTCTGGTTCAAACCGTTGACAACAGTGAGTTTTGCAGTATTGCATTCGTTTCTCCCCAGCACACACCGTACGCTCGTGCGCCGTCTTTGACTTTGCTCTCAATTTCTCTCTTCTTGCTCTTACAATATTGACTCTTGCCCTTTCTTACGATACCCGTTCATGGTTTTCACCTATGTTCTGCAGCCACCACATTTGCTACCCCGGCTTTGGCCATTCAGAAAGAAAAGGCTCGCCGCAAAAAGATTCACCGTCGTCGCTCGTACGTTGGCGGCTCATAGCACACCCGGGTTGCCCAGCACCTCTTCTCTCATCCTCGTCTTCACCATGCACCTGCCCTTCACATCACCCTTTAGTGAGCCTCTTCCGGCTCGTGATGATCAATACCTAGCCCACGACGCCGCTGATGCCCCAAATGTCAGCTACAGTTTGCTAGCTGCCTCAACCTGGTGGTTCAGCGACCCTTGATATTACAAGCCCAGGCTCACTGCCGTTTTTTCCTCCACTTCACGTTCTGGCAACCAGGTCAACCGCGCTGGCACGCGTGGCTACCGGCCTCCAGAAGTCCTTCTTCGTTTTCAACTCCATTCAACAGCCATTGACGTGTGGGCAGCTGGCACAATATTTCTCTCTTTGCTCAGGTCTGTGATACTGGTCCGTTTTTAAGTCACCTGTTTTCCCAAGATTGGGTGTTGACGCATCCGTCATCTTTCTTCCTCTACTTTCTGTTCTTCATCTTCATCATCATCATCCTTGTGGTCCTCATCGTCATCGTCGTCTTCTGTCTTCTTAATTACATTTTGTGTCGATTGGTAACAGTGGTAGACTTCCGTTTTTCCCCGCGGCCGACGACGCCGATGCCTTGGCAGAGCAAATGGCTACCTTTGGGATAAATGACTACCGTGCTCTTTGTCGTCAACTCGGTCAGTCATGACCAGCCGGTGTGAGACTGGCCACGCTGCCATTACCACTCTTTTTCTCACATCATCTTAAAACCTTGCATGTATCAGGCAAGCAACTCGTTGCGGGCCGCCTCCCAAGTACTGTGCCATCAACTGAACATAGTCCGGCCACTTTGAAGCGGTTATGCCTTGCACTTCGCAAGCACCATCATTTGGATACCTTACCAGATTCAGCCTTTGACTTGGTATGCCCGTGGATTTTGAACACATGGCAACGCACATTTTGATAACTCCCTTTTCTCGTTCATTCCTGACCACCGTACTCATGCTTGGTTAGCTCTATCAATTATTGACCATCGATCCCTGCAAGCGCATCACCGCTGCAAAGGCGCTCAAACATCCCTTTTTTACCGAGAAGAAAGCCACTGAGCCTTCCACGAATTCCTAGCTTTACCATTGTGCAGTTGGTGCGTTGTGTCTTTGGTCCCCAATGCCGGCCTTTTCACCCGACCGATTTGGTCCAATCTGCTGCTTGGATGCTGAGGCTATTGTCGTCGTTAAGATCAGCACGGATGGTTGATAATCAATACAACTGTTGTTCTTGATCACACAGTGGACACAGACCACACGACATAGACGAAAAGTTGACCGCGATACGAACGGCACAAACTTGGACGCATCGCAACCAGTAAACTCAAAAAAAAAAAAAAAAATCCAAAAACAAGCACCCACCACTACACCAACGGTTGACCCGTGCCCGCAAAAAGAATTGAAGAAAAAATAAAATTACAGCATGGCTGAGAACTTGGGATGTTCCTTCTGCTTGCCATTCATGGACAGAGGGCGATCATGAGAGGGTGGTGGAGGAATTTGAAAGTTGACGCCTGGGCCTGTTGGACCGTTTTCAGTGTCATGATCGGCGTCGTGCAAGTTATCGCCCCATGATCCATGTTCGCGATCATCTGAGAGTGGCAGCGGACTGTGGGGCGGCGGTGACTCGCTCAGCGCGTCGATAGGGGGTGGCATAACAAAGGAGGACTGGGAGCGACGAGGACTGGCCGAATAGGGTGGCGTATCATCTGCGCCCTCTTCTGTGACCTCGTCCAGTGGGTCATCAAGCTTTGAATGCGCGGAACGACGGTGGGGCTCCTCCTCGTACTCACGCATTGAGCGGTCTTGACTGTGCTCAGAGGTTTGATCGGGATGTTGAGGTGAGGTTGGATTTGTGCCTCCGTTGCCGTTTCCTCGGCGTGAGGCTCGGCTCAGCTGGCGCTGCAAGCGTTTGGAGGCCTTTCGCTCAGACTTGAGGCTAGTGCGCAACAAGTCATTCTTCTCATACTCGTGCTCCAAGGCAGCCTTGAGTTCCTCGTTCATGCGCATCGTCTCCCGCAATTGTTCCTTAATCTCGTGGCGTCGGCGAACCGACATGTCGTGCGAGTTGTTCTGGCTCGACTGATTATGGCGGGCAATCTGCATTTGCTGCTCCAAGGCAGCAATTTGCAACTCGCGACTTTCGAGCTTCTGTTCCAAACGTTGCACACGCAACTTCAGGATGGCAATTGTACGCGCATCTCCTTCAGTGCCGGTCACACGTGGATCGGACATGATGGACCCGCTGATGGACATTTGCGAGCTGTGTACCGACTCGCGCTTCATACGGCGCATGTCGTCCTGTAGCCGTGCCACCTCTGCCTCACGCTCCAAGAGTCGCTCTTGAAGCTTTTGTATCCTGTCCGTTTGGGACTGCTGGATCTGTTGAATCGCATTAGCGTTCTCAAGTTCAACCTCGAGCTTGAGATCTTCCACCATGCGCTCCAAGCGCTCAATAGTACGATCCAGAGCCTTGTTTTGTTCCTTTGATTTGGCCAATTGCCGTGCTGTTGTAGCGTGGTTGTCTTCCTCAGTGGCAAGCTGCACCTTTAGGGACTTGATTTGGGTGCGCATCTGCTCCAGCTCCGCCGATCGTCCGCTTTGTACGCTGGTGGATTGTGCCTGTAGCGCGGCCAACTCCGCTCTCAATGCCGCCAACTCATCCTGCTCAGCGGCCTGGCGTTGATGCATATCTCGTTCCTGGGACTCACGCCGAAGCATCTCTTGCCGGTGTGACAGCTCCAACTCGGCTGCCTGAAGAGCCTGCTTGGCCATCAATCCACCTAAAATTGCCTGCTGACCACGTAGCTCGGTCCGCAGGTGCTCTGTCGCGCGCTGTTCAACTGCTAGCTCAGCTTCAAGCTCACGATTGCGAGCCTCAACTTGCGCCACAGTGTTACGTGCTTCCTCGGACTGGGTTTGCAGCTGCTGCACCTGCAGGCTCATGCGGCGAGTCGTCTCTACCTGCGCCTCATCCATTCGTTGCGTCGTGTTGAGGTTGGTCTGCAGTCGGTGTGTGGTTGCATTGGCCTGACCCAGAGTATGACGCATGGACTCGAGCTGTTCCTCAAGCTCAGCATTCTTGGCACTCAGCTTGTCCACTTGCTTCCACAACTCACGCTTATCATGAACGTCGGCTTCAAGCAGGCGCTTGTTGAGTGAGTCAATCTCGGCTGTGAGTTGGGCATTTTCCTTGGTCAGCGCTTCAACTTGAGCAGCGTGATTGCTTTGAGACGCTTGAATGCTGATTTGCGCGCGTTCATGCTCCACGAGACGATCATTTTCCTCTTGCAGCTGCGCCAGTTGCACTCGTAGCGAGCTAATCGTTGCTTCTGAACTCGAGTCTGACTGATGGTCGGTCTCTGCCATTTTGGCGCGCAATGTCTCATTGGTCGCCTCCAATTCTGCCAATTGGCGCTGCAACTTTTCCGTTTTGGCGGCCAATGCCTCCACGCCTTCCAGTTCCAGCATGGCTCGTCGCGCCTGCACAAGGAAAACTGCGTGAGCATGGCATTTTTGAAGCTGTATTGAACGTGCAATTCATCAAACAAACCTGGACAGCGGTGCTGTGGGAATCGCAATGCTCACGCCATTGCGTGGCATCGATAGTCAGCTCATCGATGCGACGATTGAGCTCCTCTTCTTGCGCTTGCCACTTTTCAGCTTGCGAGGTGAAAAGCTTGGTTGTCTCCACCTGGAACAAGGCGAGTTGATCCTCTAGCTCCTTGACACGTGAGCGCAGAGTCGAGTTGGTTGCCTCTAGACCCGCCTTCTCAATCTGCATCTCTTGGGAGCGATCCGTAAAAGAGGTACTCAAGCGCGCCAAACTTGCACGCTCTTTTTCCAAATCTTCGGCCTCGTCTTGGCGATCGCGGTTGCTGTGATCGCTCTTTTCATTGTGAGCAACGCCACGTTGCGCAGCGGCACTGTTTTTGAAATCCACGAGGGCTTGGCGACGACCTTCGGCAACCAAAGAAAAGAAAGAGTCGCCCTCGGTCAACCGATACAGCTCTTCGCCATGATCAGCAAGCTGCAGCTCAGCAATTGCAAGTTGCTCAATCAGCTCCTCGTTCTCTGTCGTGTACATCTGTGTGGTAGCAAGGAGTTCCTGACGATACGCCTCGAGCTGCTGCTCCATCGCTTCCAAATCATCATTTCCTTGCGATCGCTTCAAGCCGCTCTGTAGATAAAGGGGGAAAAAAAAAAAAAAAAAAAAAAAAAAAAGTAAGACACGGCGGCGAACACCAGCGCGAATCCGTGTGCGCTGCCAAGGAGGTGCAAAAGATCATTATCACAATAGGAGTGTAGTCTTGAACACGCACCTTATCTTGATAGCGAAGTAGCTCGTTCTCGAGGCGCTCGCACTCAGCAAGCAAGTGATCGCGCTCGTCTTCCAGCTGCGCTGCTTTGGTGCTCAAGGCATTGTTGCGCTCGACATAGCTTTCGCGCTCCCCCTCGAGGGTCTCCACGCGTTCGTGGAGATGGTTGATCTCGTGAGTGCTGTGGTGCGCCAGCTCTTTCAGTTTGCGTTCGTGCTGCGTGTTAGCACGTTGGTAAAGCTCTTGAAGAACCTGCATTTCTTCTTGTTGATGCTGATAGGCTTCCACCACGGCTCGAGATTGCGCCTGAATGATGCCTTGCGGTCCATCGACACGGAAGAAAAGACCACGAAAAGCCACACAAAACTCCTCAAAAGAAAGCTCGCCGGAATGGCTGAAACAAGGACAATAGACGTAGGTGAGCGATAAGATGGGGTCAGAAATGAAGCACTGCGTTCATTGATAAGCAAAGGACAAAGACAAGCCGCAAATTTGGGCGCGAAAAACAGAACATGGCATTGGTCGAGTGTCGGGTCAAGACGAAGGCGCAGTTAAGTGATACTTACTCGCTATCAACCTCCCGCATGATGTCGTGAATCAGCTGTGGTGTCGTAACACGAGCAGCTGGTCCAGCCAGACTTTCATCGCTCATAATGTGCAGCAGTTCCTCCTCTTCAATCTGACCAGAGTGGTCGGCATCGACACTGCTGAAGATTTGCCAAAGGTATTGATATTGGTGCTCTGGAATGTCAGCAGTTGCGGCAGTACGGCTGGGAGCAGCGCGCTCTTGCTGAGCACCTTCGATAATGCTGCGCTGCTGACTCGAGACTTGGCGAGACACCATGTTAGGTGTAGCATGGGCTTCAAAAAGGTCATGCACGGCCTCGCTATCCACCATATCGTCCAAAAGTCCTGATGCCACGGCTTCCACAAATTCGTTGCGATCAATATCACCACTTTGATCTTGATCAAGCAAGCTCATGATCTCGTCCATTTTCACATACAGTGCATGCTCGCCGTTGGCATCGTAACGCAGCTCTTAAGTGATTAAAATCGGACGCAGAAAGTGCATTGCAATCGTTTGTCCATCATGAGCAGGTGTCGTGTGTCATTCAGCAGGCGATATGGTCAAAGCGCACACGAGCACCCGCACCCCCCATACGATCGAGAGAACGAACAAACCTCGCAGCATAGTCTGCAACTCATGACGATTGAGAGAGCCATCACCATCAAGATCGAGTCGATCAAACAACGCAAGAGCATTGGTCTTGGCGGCTTCACGCCGCGCTTCCGTATCTAGCGTTCAGGAAGATAGTCATAACAAGCAGTCCTCGTAATGAGGCAACCAGCCTGCTTCAAAACACGTCGGGCCCGCGCCATTCCTCTGAAAAAATGTAAGGCTTTGTGGTCAATCGCTTTGCTTTAGGGCTGGCGCACACCACTGCAGCCCTTTGGCATGGCCCAAATAAATTGATAATACTCACCCTCGTTCGTATTGGGCATGAGATTGAGAGTGGCCGCACCATCGATAAACTCCTGCAAGGAGATCTCACCATCTCCATCCTGATCCAAGACGTTGACAAGCGCAGGAAGCTTCATAGATGCCGAGAATTTATGAGTCGAAGACAGGAGAAATCATTCCGCGGCATTCTTCGGAACAACAAGGGCTAAAGAGGAGGGGCAGTTGACAAAACTAACCTTCTCGCGGCGTTCATCTTCATCCTCCATGCCCAAGAATTGTAGGACTGTGTCGAGCTCATCAATATCGATGGTGCCGCCTAATGGCCAGGTAGATTGTTAGATTGCCGGGGTTGTGCGCATGTGTTGTCGATTGGATGGTTGTGTCGCCGTGGCCCTATGCCAGATCAGGAGTTCTCACTTTTGTCCTTGTCCAAGGCCTTGAAAAGCGCCTCCAACGACGCGATCTTTTGCTGCAATGAAACACAAAGTCATGGCAATAGACGGCAAGCGTGAGAAAAATTATAAGGGCCCCATCACAGGGCATCAGGCCTTATCCCAGCCAACATCAAAAAAAAACAAAAAAAAAAAAAAAAAAAAAAAAAAAAAAACGCATGCGTGACTCGAGGGATCGCTTTGTAATGAAGTACGCATGGACCTCAAGATGATGTCGTCCAATCGACCGATGGTGTGAAGTCATGCAGTGCTCTGCCAAGATCTGTCTCACCTTGTCCATGTTTCAGGTCTTTGGCGAGGCTCAGCCGTGGGGCACCAAACGCCAAAGACAGCATGTGGCGGCGCCGATGCAAGCGTGGCTGCGATGCGGTCAGCAACAGTTGGTCAAAATACGTGGATGAGCTTCACCTAGCTTCTCGACTGATGCCAACCGCTTTGAATTCATCATCGCCCAAGCAAAGAGTTGTCGAAATCGAGGCGCAAGTTGACCAACCAACACGACGATGCGCCAAATGACCGAGCAGAAGTGAGCTTGGTCTTTTGGGTTTGTGTGCCAAAGAGTGAAGAGTGGAACAGAGAGAGAGAGGGAGACAGCGAGAGACAGAGGGACACAGAGACAGAGAGACACAGAGACAGAGAGAGAAAGACAGAGAGACAGAGAGAGAGAGAATAAAAAGGAGTGAGAGAGACAGACAGAGACAGAAACAGAGACAGAAACAGAGAGAGAAAGACAAGACAGAGAGAGAAAGAGACAGAGAGACAGAGTCAGAGACAGTCAGAGTCAGAGACAGAGAGAAGCTTCATCAGAATCTAGAGAGACAGAGAGAGAGAGAGACAGAGACAGAGAAAGACAGAGAGAGAGACAGAGACAGAGAGAGACAGAGAGAAGCTTTTTACAATCTAGAGAGAGAGACAAGCGTGGGGCTTTCCCGCTCTCCATAGTAGTGTGGTGTGTGCCCTGTAGGTCAAGAGACCCAAGCAATCAAGCCCGGTACCGTGCATTTGATTGTCGCGTTGGAGAGACTTGACTTGGGATCCTCATCTTGATTTGACTCGACCTTTGTTGGGGTCATCATCATCTTTGACAGAACGCCCATGGCACGGAATCGAACAGCTCCCATGTGTCGATTGCGCGCACGACTTGTGCTATCGACTTTTTCAGGCTGAAAGATTTGTCCTCGGCGCAGAGGCGCCCTCTGTCTTTGGCAGTGTCCAGAGCATCTCTGACGTTCGAGAGGGACTCACGGGTACATTTATGGGCACATTCACGGGCCGAGGATGCAGCTCGAAAGGTGTAGGATAGTGAACTCGAGCTCACCCTACCGACCAAACGCACGCACACGCACACGCACACACACACACACGAGAGAGGGAGAGCGAGAGAGAGAAGATGGATGCCCTCAACGATTCGTTGCTTCATCCAAAAAGCTTCAGCTTACACACACTACAGCCAATGTCGTGGCCAGGCCATCATTTGCCTGATGCAGGTGCACGCAATCTTGCCTCGAGCCTCGCATTAGACTGAGTCCTCGGCTGCCGTTCCCATCTCTTCTCAAAAGTTTGGTGCTATAACGCCATACAACGTCGTTGTTTCCACAATACTTCCTTACCATGTGTAACCTTTGTTGTGTGTGTGTGTGCTTTGATCTTTGACCCTTTGGAAGTTTGGTCAACATCATTTGTGATGTGAAAGAAAAAGAAAGCACGACGGATGATAAAGTTTCACGTTCATTCATCGTGATAGTTCAGCAATAAGGCTGACATCAACACACAACTTGGTATCCGAGGTCAAAACTTAGCCATGGCCATACCAAAGACCGACAGCGAAAATGTCATCATTTCGGGACCGAGCGGATGGCAGGATGAGCGACGGATGGCAAGGTTGAGCGACTCTCAATTTCATCGTGTCTCTGACACAGTGGGGTCTATTAGCAGTTTAAGGAGATCAAGAGCAAGGATGGAAGACCAAACAAGCGAAGCTCGGTCCCTTGCAAACAAGAACCAAAAAAAAAAAAAAGAATAGGAGCAAGACACTACTCCACCATCATAATGCGAATGTGGAGCGGGCTTGTCGTCACTGTCGTCGGCCCCTTGATGGTGACGGCGGTGGTTGTCTCCACCGTCATACCCACGGCCAGGCCTAGAGGAATAATCAAACACAGGAAATGAGTGTACAGATCGCGAATGTGCAACAATCGCTTTGGTCGGGCACAAGCCAACTTTCAAGTGAGCACACTCAAGAGGAAAGCACGTACTGGCATGGGGGGTAAAAGAAAGACGGAGGGGAAAAAGTTCGTCCGGCTTGAGTGTACCACGTGCGCCAGCACTGATGGATAAACCCGCTTGAGTGGCTGCACTCTCCAGCGGCTCCAAGGATAAATCAGCTGATCGTTTGGGCGGCCCAGGTTCAAACTGGTAGCCAAGGTAGAGATCGCGCGTAATGGCAGGGCGTTCCCCATTGGCGTTGGCTTCGCGAAGGCTGTATCGCAGGTAGACTGACATGGCAGGTAGGCTGGGCGCCGGCAGCGCCAAAGGATGTGAAACGGTACTCTCCACAGCTCCATCGTGACCCACACAAAAAGGTCCAACGACGCGACCCCGGCCTCGAACGTCCACGCGGCAGGGCTCGGGTTGACCACGATACTGAATCATCAGAGAATCGCGATAAAACTCCGAGCAGTGATCTGGTGCAAATGTCACGACCAAATCACATCGCTCTCCCGGCGCCAACACCCCGCGTGCTGGTAGCACAGAGAAGGCCGAGCATCCATCGCGGTTCCGCTCGTCCGAGCCGCCAGCTCGACGTACCGCACGGGGGCAGTTGCGCGCCGCGTCAAAGGCCACGCGCACAGGGGCCGGTGCACTCTCTGAAGCGCTGGCCCATGCCGTGCTAAAAGGCACGGCAACGCTGCCTTTATTTTGTAGTGCCAGCGTGCGCGTGACACTGGTCATGACCAAGGTGTCACCGAAACTGAGCCACGGCGCGTGGGGCATGGTCGCACCCTGGGCCAACTGGGCTGCCGCAGCCACGGCGGGCACGTCAACAACTGGTGCTGCCACGATTTGCGGAACCACACCCTGGCCTCGGAGGCGTAGTCGTACACGCTGATGGTTACAATTGATATCAAAGTCCTCTTGATAGGCCATAGCCAGGTCGGGTTGGAAGGCGACAATCACTTGCTGGCTAGCACCCGGCGCGAGTGGGCGCAGCGCACGCACCAAGCGAAATGCACCTGCCGTATCTAGTGCGCTGCAGCGGCAAATCACTTCGTGCTGGCTGATGTTGGTTAGTGTCCAACTCTGTGTATCCTTGGTGGCAAGGCACCGTGGGCCAAAATCGTGCAGCAGCTGCGCAGACTCGCCTTCAGCTCCAGAGGTGTCCCGCACCAGGACAAATGGTTCAGAGGCCGGCAGTTCAAGGTCCACACTAAAGGTATGGGCCGAGTCCACTACCTCGCCGTCGGCTGACACAAAGCAGCGCAAGACGCCACGAGACACCTGCGTGTGGCTGGATTGAGCCTCGGTGGGCCGGGACGGAGCAAAGCGCAGCCACACATGCTGCATTTGCCCAGGGCCAATGCGGCCGGCACAAGGGCTGAAAGCAAGCGGTAGGTTGCCCCCCGCGGATGTTTGGAGCTGAAAGGACCAGGGCTGAGAGGTGGTATTGCGAAGGTAAATGCACTGGGTTCGACTATCGCCGTAACAGGTGGTGGCAAACGCCACTCGGGACGTCGAAGCCACCAAGGGGGGCACAACGCCCGTTCCAATGCATGTTATGCGTTGCGGCCGGCTGGCCAGCTCATTGACAACCTGCAAATCAAACTGAAACTTTTGATCGTCATCATCATGGGGGTGCCGGGGCGGCGCAAACAGAACGTCAACGCGCACCGTTTCAAACGGCAGGAGGGTGCCAAACCCATCGCCTGGACAGATTGTCACGTAGTCTGGGAGCTTGGTGAAGGCGAAGCGCTGTGGCAAAGCCGATTCGTTGCAAAGCTCGACGGATCGGACAACAGTCTCGTACACTCCGACCCGACCAAAGTCCAAGTGCGTGGGGCGTACTAGGAGATTGTTGGGTGTGAGATGCGCTTTGACAAGAATTTGGGATGGCAGTGCCTGCCCTTCCACGTTCATGGTGACGGGGACACGCATGTCACCGGTTTCACGATCAGCCAAGTGTTCCAAAACCGTCAAGCTGTCTGCACGTGGTGCAAGACAGAGCTGCACGGATTGGGTGCTGTTCGGCTGGAGAACGCAGCCTACCGGCTTGACCTGCAACGTTGACGCGGCTTCGGGCGGCACACTGAAAGCCACCTTGGAGGAAGAAGAAGAGTTGGTATTGCACAAGGGCACAGACACGACGTATTCGTGGTTCTGACAGCATATGCGAAAGTCAACAGAGGTGTCCTTGAAAAAGACAGGAATACGGCGACACTGGCCCACGACGGTTAGCTCCAAAGGCTTGGCATCCGAGTCGGAGAAGCTGATGCGCAAACGGTCCTCAAAGGCACCTTCGCTCTGCGGGGTGAAGTGCACACCGATACTAATGCCCGTGCGAGGGGCCAAAAAGCCGGAAAACGCGCCGTCATAGGCAAACACTGGTGCAGATAATACGGTGGACGACACGGCCAACGCGGTCTCGTCCGACTCGTCACCCTCCGGCGGCGACGCTTCGGCCAAACTTGCAGAGGTTACGTCTTCATCACTCTTCGCGTGGTCAGGACCCGCCTCACCCACACCTTTTGAAGATGGCTGATCATTGCCAGTCTGACCGTGGGTGTCCAAGGGAGTGCCATCCACATGCACAATGTCGTATTTGGTTGCGAGGCCTCCGTGATTGACAAGTTCAATAATGTCCATGCATGTCTCACCCAGAAAGACAGTGCCAAGGTCGATGGTGTCACGCACCAGCTGCACGTTGCAGCGTTTGCGTCGACAGATGATGGGAACGCGCACTTCGGCACTCTGCGTTTGAAGCACCATGACCGTTTCTAGATCACGGTTCACCTGTGGATGAAACACGACCTGTACTTCGCTGGAGAGGCCCGCAGAGATGGAACCCGGCGGCTGATACTCGTATTGGATAGCTTCAGCCTCACAGGGCAAGACCTTGAAGCTGTTGAAGCCATAGCTCACGTTCGTGAAGGTTACCTTTTGAGTGTACGTCTTGCCGATGTCAAAGTCAATAAACTCAACGGCTGTCAAACTGCTCACAAACGGTGGTCCCTCAAAGGTGCGACCTGAGATGACCTGTGGCTTGACCATGTTCTGGCGCTGACGCTCCAATGCCGACACCATGCGCTCTTGTTCCAGTTTGCTCATGCCCTTGTATTTGGTGGATTTGTTGGCTTTGGGGGCAGCAGAGGCTGAGGTAGCACGTAAAGTAGCGTCCCCGATCGATATCGAGTCGGTGGCGCTCTCAGGCATGTCATCAGACGTGGGGTCTTCAGACCCCATCTGCCAGGCGGCCGCAAACTTGGGATCGGAAAAGGCTGCGGCGGCCAATGCCTGAGTATCCGCAACGTTCACCTCTGTGGGACGCCGTGGGGCAGCCGATCGAGTCGACGGGCCAGGCGTGTGCTGATGGCCTGCGGCCGTGATGAGGCTTTCCTCGTCGCTGCTGTCGTCACCAAAATCCAAATCTGGTAGGGCGAGGCCCAAGGTAGGCAAGGCCAGGGGCGTATCGGTCTCCACCGCCCCGGATTCCATTGGGTCGACGCCCGCTGCAGCAGGTTCAGGGCTGGTCACCTCTGGTACACAGGCGTGGGGCACTTCGACGCTGTCGGCGCGACTACGGAAGTGAGCACTCCCTGAGGAGTCACTGCTGCCGCTGGCCCGGCTGTTGCGAAGAGGCCCCTGAGTCCGTTCTGCGGCGGCAGCTTTTGAAGCTGGACCAGCGGGCCTGACATCGAGGGAACTCGGGAGATTAGTGGCCTTGAGCTGCACAGCGGTGGTATCGCGTAAGGCGCGGACGGTAGTGCCCATGAGGGCTTTGCGCTGTAAGGCGGTGGTGTCCACTTTTTCACGACGCTCGTTTGTGCGCTGCTTATCAAGTTCCGCGGCAAGACGTGTGGCCAACTCACGCTCGCGAACAGCTTGCTGTTTCTCGCGTCGGCGACGCGCTTCTTCCTGGCGCCGCTGACGGAGGACAATGTCGGGATTTTCGCCTTTGTCCAGCAGGGCCTGCCGCTCGGCTTCCCAGGCATCCTGGGCTTGTTGCTTGCGTTTGTGTTGCAGTGTGGCCCGCCGGCGATCCTGTTCCGAGAGACGGTCACGATTGATTTTGAGCTGTTGCACGGCGTTGCTACGACGTTCCAACTCCTCACGATCAGCTTGGAGCTGCAGCTGTTGCTGTTGCATATGCTTGGCATGGGTCTCTCGAATGAGGTCATCCACAGGCTGGCTTGAAGAAGAAGTTCCAGAGTGTGCCGGCTCGGGTTCGCGACGGGCTACTGATGAGTGTGCGGCGTGAAAAAATTGCTTCTCGGCTCGAGCGCGGCGTCGACCTGCGCTCAACTCTCTTTGCACGCGTATTCCACCCGCAATGCCATCGGCACGACGCAGCATATCTGATTGTCGCTGCCGGTCCTACACTCGCGATGCACCAAAAGGCGTACAAAGAGTATGCAGGCATGCATGAGGCCCGCAGAGCAGCGCGGGGTGGGCAGGTGGTGAGGGGTGGTCGCACCTCGGCGCTGCGGTGTAATTCCTGGAGCTTTTTTTCTGTTGTGTTGAGGCGCTCGTCCAGGACTTGTATCTCGCGCTGAGCAGCACGGGCTCGCTCCAACTAGGATGGGAAGCAATGCGAAGGTTAGGGCAGCGAGCTTGGGGCTATGAGGAAGCCGGTGTTTCAGTCCCTGTGAGTAAGCGCTCAAGAGGCGGACGTGGGCTCACATTTTCATCAACGCCGACATGCAGCACGTCCTGCTGTTGGCGGAGGTTATGAATTTTGAGCTTGAGGGCACTGCTGGCTGATGAGGTGCTGGACATGAGGCGATCCATTTCGTCGTCGAGATGGGCGATTTCGGCCTCGAGAGCAGCGCGCTCGGCGGCAAAAGAGGAGCACTGTTGTTGGATGGCTTGGCGTTGATGACGAAGATCATTAATGCTTGCGCTGTGCTCTGCAATGGCTCGCTGCAATCCTTCAAGCTTGATGCGATTCTCAGTGGTGATGGGGTCGGACATGATCGTTTCGCCTGGCTGCTGCTTCTGTGCCAGCAGCGTTTCCTCGAAGCGGTCCAAGCGCTGGCGCTCCAGCTCCTCCTCATCCTCTGACGAGCTAAAAGTCATGATTTCCGCCGCCATGACTGGCCGTACCCCACGGCCGTCGGCACGTGTAAACCTGCCTCCCTGCTGGTCGAGGTCTTTTGAGTGAGCCTCACTTTGATGCTCGCAGCTCGACCAAAAATTGAGAAAAAAAAAAAAACGTTGAGAGAGAAGAGAGACAAGAGAGAGAGAAAGCAGCATTTGCTGTTGTCAAGCACTAAAGACAATTGGTAACACAGCTTTTGTGTGTGTGTGTGTGTTTTCTTGCAAAAAAAAACACAACAAATACCAACTGATCCTCTTTTGTGATTTTTTTTTTTTTTTTTTTGACGAGAATGGCGCCCTGCTCGGAACGGGGTGCGTGCTCAATTTCGAGGGGAAAAAAACATACAGCTGGAGAGAGGTGTTATGATGGAGCACGGTGAAACCCATCATACTCATAAAAACATACAAAGATTTGCATCAAGGCAACACGCAAAAGCAGCCCATCCTCGGGTCAATGCAGGTGCCGAACCACACATGGCACGCGAACGCCACGCAAGAACGGACTCACACCGAGTGCGAAGGAATGAGAAAGACGCCACTCACGACTCAATCGGCGTTGGGAGTGATGAGGGCAGCCAGGACATCAGAGAGCGTGATGGTGCGAATGGGAAGGCCGCTTGCGTCCACGACGTAAACGCGGTGGATGCGGCTCACGGCCAACTTGCTAATCACCTCACCCAGGGTGGTCTGGCTCGAGCAAGTGATGGCGGGCAGCATCTCGCTGCGCTCACGGTCAGGTGCATTGCAAGCAATGTACTCGGTAACCGACTTGTGAAGGGCCGCAAACACACGCTTGCCCGTCAGCGCCCCACGGATATCGCGGACGCTGAGGTTGCCAATAATGGCACCGTTCTCTGCCACTACAGGTGCAGCGGAGACCTCCTAAAAGGCACACCACAGGGGTAATGAGTACATCTCTCGTGAGGGCAACCCCCCTCATTCATTGGTGCGGAAGGTGGGGGCGCCGAACCTTGTCCCGTAGCATCTTGAAGGCATCGATTGTGCGCACGCTGCGAGGGATGGTGACAAGATCCGAGGGGGTGGTCAGATGACATTGCTCAAGGGTGCGAGCCGCCGTCTGCTGGAAGGCTTCGAGCTTGTTGGCCAAGAGCCGCACGACGGCTGACTGCGTGACAAAGTTGACGAGGATGCCTTGGTCATCGCCCACCAAGATGCGGTGCTGGTTCATCGTGCCCAGGGTCTTGCAAGCCTCGAGAAGGGAATCCTAGTAGCAAGACAAGGGACAGGTGAGGAGTGGATTGCCGTGAGGCCATCGTGCTCCGTGGCCGATGAGCTGCTGTGCGAAGTGAATGTTTTGTCCGATGCCCAAAGGCCAAGCAGGTTGAAAGCACAAACCTTCTCATTGAAAATTTGCACGTCGTCGGTAACGCCGAGGCCTATGCAGATGGAAGTGGCATGCGTGGTGTTGAGGTCTGAGGTGAGCGGGTGTGCGGCGAGCACGGGCAATCGTCTCGTCTCGACAGTCGGGCTGAAGAACCGAGCCAGAGTCACGCACCGCTGTTGGCCAGAAGTTGCTTGTCCAGTGACTTGAGTGCCGTCAACTGGGCGAGGCCGGTCAGATCCTCATTGCTCTTGTCGGCAGCATGCTCAAGCGAATCGAGAAAGTAGTTGTTGACAAGACGGCTGAGATCAGCCACGCCAACGTAACCTTGGTCACTCTAGAAAAATAGAAGACGTGTCCAAGACGCGAGCAGTTGCGCCAGGTTGAGCGAGGGCTTCCGGGAGATAGTCAAAACGTGCACGCCGGCGGACCAAACGGCTATACCTTGACGGGTGCACACATGATATTGCCCTCGGAAAGGGTGCGAATGACATCCAAGAGGGAGTCGTTGACAGAGACAGCAATAAGCTCGTCTGGCTTTTCAAAGTGGTGAAGCGTATAGCCTCCAAGGAACGTGCGCGCCGACATGATTCCGGTTGAACAAAAAAACCCGAGGGAGCTTCTATGAACGTCAACAAGATACAGACAGGGTTGAAAAGTACCGTGAGCCGTTGGCCGTCGTTCCGATCTTGACCCGGGGTTAGAACTGGTTGTTGAGGAGCGGGAAAAGAGACGAGGCACGGGTATGTTGTTGTTGTTGTTGTTCTTATTGTCGATTTTGAACCGTGTCACGAGGCTCATGTCGAGCGCAGCTCTGAAAGAGAAGCTCCTTCCAAGCCCTCGGCGTGGACCAGGCAAGAACCAGTGTAGGATGCAGCCTCGATGCCAATCAGGCACCAACCAGCACGAGCAGGGACTGACCGTCACGACCTGTTGGCGTCAAATCAGAATCAACTGCGACACACACACACTGTGCAAGGGGGAAAGGGGAGGAGGACAGGCGTGCTGTTCACAACACCAGTTCTGAGTGGCTGCTGTGCCCTGTGCGGGGGTGTGTGTTGGGTGTAATGGGAGGGGTTGATGCAAGATTTTATCAGATTGTGGTCGTCAGGGAATTCAATTTTGGAAGGCGTTGATTCATATTCAAGGACGGTTCACTTTAGGGAGTTGTACTTTATTATGAAAATTGGGGTGTCCTCTCTATCTTGTAAGTTTATATTTTGAGCACTCATCAGGTGACAATGGCGCCGCTTGGGCAGGAGGTGCAGAATTCAAGGTGAATGCTGACGCGGCACTTGGGTGAGAGAGATGGTTCAGATGGTGGGGAGCGACGCGTTCTACTCGACTGCGCGGATGAGACTTGATGTGTCAGTGCTGCGCTGCGTACGAAACTCTGAAACGTGGCACCTGAACGTCGCACGCCTGAAGGTCGCACGCGTGAGGGGGTACATCGTTGGTATGACTGGTCCCCCATTTCCTTCCCCACCATTTGTCAGAGGGCGCTTGTTCTCGATTGAGGACAAACCATACAGTAGACCAGCTCCTTCTTTTGTCTCTTGTGATGATTCCTTGTTTTCGCGCGAAGACAGAGAAGAGACACAGAGACAGAGAAGAGACACAGAGACACAGAGACAGAGGCATTGGAGAGAGACAGAAACACAGAGACAGAGACAGACAGAGGGAGAGAGTCAGAGACAGGGAGAGGCAGAGACAGGGAGACAGAGACAGACAGAGACAGAGAGTCAGAGACAGGGAGAGGCAGAGACAGGGAGAGAGAGACAGACAGAGACAGAAGAGAGACAAGAGACAGAGAGACAGAGAGACAGAGACAGAGAGACAGAGAAACACATGACAAGAGTCAATACAAAAGAAAGCGTGTAAGCATAGCCAGTCAGCCAAATGTACATCCGATCTTTCTTATGTGAAGAAGACAAACACGTGTGTGTGAGTGTGTGGAAGTGCGTGTAGAAGTGGCGTGGTCGTGCCGACCCGGCGGGCAACAGGCTCCGGGTTCAGTGGCTGTGAACGCCTATTTTCTTCTTCTTGTAAAACGTTGCCAGCCTCTTGTTGTTGCACGTTGGGGACCATTCTCACAAGATCATCTCAAGAGGTCAGCACGACGTTGCATTCATGCGCATTACCTTTGGCTTCTTGTGCCTGGCTCGCCTCTCACGCTATCGCCTCGTGTGGCTTGATGCAGTCGCATTTCTTTCCAGCGCTCTCGCCTCGTCATCAGCTCTTGCTCGCTCGCCCCTCGAGCCTCCCTCTGCTCTGTTGTCTCTCGTGGGCACCAAACATCATGGCAGCCCATATTGCCTTTACTCAACCAACCAGTGTGCGGGTCAAGAGCCCGCACGTCCAGTACCAGGACAGCGCCATGGTGAGCCAGTACGATTACCACAAAACCCTCGTTGAGACGGACGCCGACGGCAACGTGCAGGCCGTGCCCACCACCGTATGTCATTGCCTGCACCTCGCGCCTGCATGCTGGCATCCGCACCCTCACGGACGTCCCCCATCCCATCCTCTCATCGCACTGGAAATAGACCCGTTACGAGCTGCGGACCGAGACCAATGTTCCCAAGCTCGGCGTTATGCTGGTATGGCTCCCACCTCCCTTACCGCCCCGACTTTTAACTCTGTGACACTCGAGCTTTATTTTTATTTATTTATTAATTTTTTTTTTTAACGGTGACTGGCCGATTTACCATCATCCATCCGTGATCACCCATGACCCCGCGCCCGTTCCCTTAACGTGCACCTCGAACGCCGACGCGACACAATGTCTGTAGGTTGGCCTGGGCGGCAACAACGGTACCACGGTTGTCGGTGCCACGGTAGCCAATCGCCTCAATCTGCAGTGGAACGATCGTGAGGGCCTCAAGAGCCCCAACTACTGGGGTTCCGTCACCCAAGCCAGCACCACCAAGCTGGGCGTGGATGCCCAAGGCAACGATGTTTTTGTGCCCTTTGCCAGTCTCCTGCCCATGGTTCATCCCAACGACGTCGTCTTTGACGGCTGGGACATTAGCGGTCTGAACCTTGCCGATGCTATGGACCGTGCCCAGGTCCTGGAGTATGACCTCCGCCGCCAGCTCAAGCCCCATCTGGCTCAGATTGTGCCGCGCCCCGGCATTTACTACCCCGATTTCATTGCCGCCAACCAAGCCGATCGTGCCGACAACGTCCTCGCTGGTACCGACAAGCAGGTTCACCTGGACCAGCTTCGCGCCGACATTCGTGACTTTAAGACACGCCACCAGCTTGATAAGGTTATCGTGTTGTGGACCGCCAACACGGAGCGTTTCGCCGATGTGACCGAGGGTGTCAACACCACGGCCACCGACCTGTTGCAAAGCATTCGTGACAGCCACCCCGAGGTGGCCCCCTCCACCGTGTACGCTGTTGCGGCCGTCCTTGAGGGCTGTGCCTTCATCAACGGTTCCCCCCAAAACACCAACGTGCCCGGTTTGATTGAATTGGCCGAGCAACAGCGCGTGTTTGTGGGCGGCGACGATTTCAAGTCGGGTCAGACCAAGATGAAGAGCGTGCTCGTTGACTTTTTGGTCAACGCTGGCATCAAGCCCGTGGGCATCACCTCCTACAACCACCTTGGCAACAACGACGGCAAGAACCTCTCTGCACCTAGCCAGTTCCGCTCCAAGGAAATTTCAAAGTCCAACGTCGTCGATGACATGGTGGCCTCCAACGGCATTCTTTATCAGCCAGGGGAGCACCCCGACCACGTCGTCGTGATCAAATATGTCCCGGCCGTTGGCGACAGCAAGCGGGCCTTGGACGAGTACTACAGCAAAATCTTCATGCACGTATGTCCCCGCCCCTCGCCTCTCGCTCCATGGGCTGTGGCCCAGCCTTCAGCTCACCGCTTCTTGCCTCGTGGCTCCCCACTTGTCGTGCTAGGGAACCAACACAATTTCCATGCACAACACCTGCGAAGACAGCTTGCTGGCCACGCCCCTGATCATCGATCTCTTTGTGCTCTGTGAGCTGTTGCAGCGCATCTCGTGGCGTGTCATCGAGGGCAGCGACGACCAATTTCGTCCTCTCGCCACTGTGTGCTCCCCCCTCAGCTACCTGCTCAAGGCCCCTCTGGTGCCTCACGGCGCCCCCGTGGTCAATGCCCTTTTCAAGCAGCGTTCGAGCGTCATCAACCTGCTTCGTGCCTGCCTCGGCCTCGCGCCCGAGAGTCACATGGGCTTGGAGCACATTACCGTCAACCAGGTCGCAAGTTCGACCCCGAGCAGCTAATTGGCGCTGCCTCAAATCCTGGCCCGTCCGTGCTTCTCGCAGCGCTGTCACATACAACGGAAGCCATCGCCTGTCCACTAGCGTTTCCACCACCGTTGCCATAGGAAGGGCAACAAACGAAATTTACATCATAGATGTTAAAAAAAAAAAAAAAAAAATTGTGTATTCATACAACTACCCTCTAAAATCAATAAAACTACCCCGAAATTCAAGTCCACACCACTGACCAGAGAAACACGAGAAGCTTTTGTTCTTTTTATTAATACTTTCTTCTCTCAGTCTCTGGGTCTTTCGATCCCTGGACAATCGTCTCTGCCTTTGCACCGCTTAACCCCTCTGTCTCTCTCTGTCGCTTCATATCTCCTCTACATCAAATCTCTGAAGCCACTCTGTCTCTCGATCCAGCTCGCACCTCTCCGCAACGTCTCCCTCTTGCGCTCCATCTCTTCACTCTCTCTATCTCTTTTTGCACTTTTCAAAGGACTTGTTGCAGGTGCGAGTTGCTGAATGGCGGCGGCGGCTGCGGCGGCGGCGCACGTTGCACGTCACACGTTGCACGTCACACGTCGCACGCTTAACCTGGCCTGGGGGACACGTATACGAAAAGAAAAAGCGCATTTCTGCGTGTCGTGTCACTCGGCTTGATGTTCTGGTCAAGTGCGTCTGGTTGCATGCTGACTCAATGTGCTGCGCCTTCTGCTGTTTCCCAAAGGCTCAGCTCGATCGACCCGCAAAGCATGGCGGCCTTGGCGTTTGCGCGGCGGTTGCCGCTGGTTTCTTCGACCACTCCTTATGCAGCTCGTCATCTGAGCCGCTCGGCACCCTTGGCAGCTGGACCTCCGCCTTTTGAGCCCGAACCTCTCCCGAAAGAGCTCGAACGTGTGTATTCTCGTTCTACCGTGTTTCGACCCCTCAAGTCGTTCCTGTGTCTGTGCTAGCGCACCAGGAACAGCAAAAGAGCCCCCACCCATCTCAACCCTCTCGCCATCACACCAAACGTGTCACCTGCATGTTTGCTTTATTTTGTCGATGGGCGCGCACGGCGGTCCACTGGTCTAATGACAATGTATATGTGCCCATCTGCCATCTCTCGCTGGTTGTAGATGTGGCCGCCTCGGCCGTGTCCAAGAATTTGTTTACCTCGATTAATGAAGCCATGGACCTTGCCCTCACCCGCGACGCCAATGCCTGTTCGTCCATCTGATTCGCTTGGACAAGCCACTTGCACGGTCACCTGCCCTGACTTTTTTCTTACTGCTCCGTTCCTCGTGGCCCCAAACAAAACATCGCATCGTCGTCTTCACCTCTTTAGGCATCTTTGGTGAAGATGTGGCTTTCGGTGGCGTCTTTCGCTGCTCCGTAGGCCTTCGCGAGAAACATGGTACGTTCTTGTACTACGCTGCGAGCCCACCCTGCCCTTGCCCTTGAACGGGTTGGACTGCCTGTCCTCCCGTTCCAGGCCCTTACCACGTGCTCTCATGTCTTCTCCTCCGCTACCGCCCCTCCCTAGGTGCCCACCGCGTTTTCAACACCCCGCTTTCGGAGCAGGGTATTGCCGGCTTTGCCATTGGTTTGGCGAGCAACGGTTGCACGGCCGTGGCCGAGATCCAATTTGCCGACTACATTTTCCCAGCCTTTGACCAAATTGTGAACGAGGCCGCCAAATACCGCTTCCGCTCTGGTGGTCAATTCGACTGTGGCAAGCTGACCTTCCGCGCCCCTTACGGGTGCGTGGGTCACGGCGGCCTTTATCACAGCCAAAGCCCCGAAGCTCAATTTGCGCATTGCCCCGGCATCAAGGTCGTCATTCCACGCGGGTAGGCTGTTGCATGTTCGGCTAGTACTGATTTGTGCTGATACTTAAAGCTCATGCCCCCTTCCCGTCGTACACTTTGCTGGCTTTCTCCTGTGCTATCCACCCTTCCTGTCAAAAAAATTAGCCCTGTTCAAGCCAAGGGACTCTTGCTGGCAGCCATCGAGCACCCCGACCCTGTGCTCTTCCTGGAGCCCAAGTTTATGTACCGCGCCGCCGGTACGCTCATGACAAAGGCGCCGTTTCCCCTCATCCTTGTTCTTCCAAAAATGCAACCAAACAACTGCTGAAACGAGCGCATGTGCACGAGATTAAAAAAAAAAACTCCCCTTTCACCCGACTTCTCTCACGGCTTGGATCCAACCCGTGCGATTCATTAGTTGAGGACGTGCCAGCCGACTACTACACTCTTCCTTTGGATAAGGCAGAAGTAGTGCAAGAAGGTTGGTCTTGCCCGCTCGCCTTGCTCTTTCCTTCTGCTTTTTGGGCTACAGCCTACGAAGTGCTTTGATCTGATCCGTGGTTGCTGCCACCCATGTGGCAGGCTCCGATATTACCTTGATTGGCTATGGCTCGCAGCTGCAAATTCTCAAGGCCGCGGCTAAGCGGGCACATGCCGAGCTTGGTGTGAGCTGCGAAGTCATTGATTTGCGGACAATCAATCCTTTTGACGAGGAAACTATTGCCGCTTCGGTCATCAAGACTGGCCGCTGCGTCGTAGCCCATGAGGCCCCGCTGACGGCTGGCATGGGTGCAGAGCTGTCTTCCACGATCCAGGAGCTGTGCTTCTTGCATCTGGAGGCCCCCGTCAAGCGTGTTTGCGGCTGGGACACCCCCTTTCCTCTGGTTTATGAGCCCTACTATGTCCCTGACACTAACCGCTGCTTTGAGGCCATCAAGGAGACCATCAACTATTAGAGCGAGCACCGTCCAGTTGACACGCATGCAACACAATCAGCACGCAGCAGACCGGCTGTTCACGAATGATGGTACAATTGAAAAGAACAAGATCAATTGAAAAAAAAGAAAAGAACACGGTTCATTGGTATTTAAAAAATTGCCAGTCACCCGAGGCACAAAGGCCCATCAGACTGAACGCTAGTCTGTCAGCGCGCACCACCCCACCCACACACTCGCATCACACATACACATGCGCGCCACACAATGTAGAACAGACGCACGGACACCCATTGCCACGCCTTGAAAACTTGGGACGAACGCAACGCAAGCGCCCCTTGGAGCTTGGCCTGAAAAAAAAAAAAAAAAAAAAAAGAAGCACGGTTCGTCTCTCCAAGAAGCGCAAACAATGCAGAGAAAGCCGTGCCACCCTGCAGATCTGGGACAATCCTGTCACTAAACAGGCACAAGGTTTTACACATCAGTACGCAGCTCCTCTGGGGCTGGTGTGTCCTTCACCAAAGAGCGCTTGCTCTTGAGTGGGGTTGTGTCCACGAAGCGCGTGGGAGCGTCCTCGTGGTGGATGGGCAAAGGGCTCTGGCTGCTCTTCTTGAAGTAATTTTGCAACTCGCCGCATGCAGCCAGAACAAAACCTGAAAGACAGAGTTGGGAGGTCATGTAAATCCTCTTGTGCTGGGAAGAACACACGCAGATGCAAACCATTCAGCACAGGGCGTGGCTAGGGGCCAGAGCGACATACCCAAGAATGGCGGAGAAGGACGCAGGGGACGGGAGAGAAACTCGGGATGGTACTGCACGGCAAGGAAAAACGGATGATCTTTCTCGGAAAGCTCCATGATTTCCATGCGCTTGCCCTCGATGTCGTGACCAACAAAGCGGAGACCGTGCTTCTCAATTTCGTCCACTAAGTCCGGATTGACCTCGTAGCGGTGACGATGACGCTCTTCCACAAAGTCTGGCTCACCATAAAGCTTGCAGGCCACCGAGTCGCGCTTCACAAAGACGGTGCGGCGCTTGCCGAGACGCATGGTGCCGCCCATGTGGGTCTGGCTGAGCTCAGGCATGTCAATGACGACCTTGGTCTCGCACTCGGGATCCACCTCAGTGGAGTTGCAGCCCTTCCATCCCACAACGTTGCGACAGAATTCTGCAAGCAGTGTGAGCGTAGGAGAGGTGAGGATATGCATGGGTGATGCGTATACACGGACAAAGTTAGAAACAGTAACAGCGACAGCAACCACAGGGGCGGACGCTTCTGCTCAAAAACGTACCGATGACGGCGAGCTGGAGGCCGAGGCAGATACCGAAGAAAGGAACCTTCTTGGTACGAGCCCACTTGATAGCCGCAATCTTGCCCTCGATACCTCGAGAACCAAAGCCACCAGGCACAAGGATGCCATCAGCTTGCGTCAACGTCTTCCACGCGTCGTGAAATTTGGCAGGGTCATTATCTCGGGCTTCATCCTCCAGCTGGCTAGCCTCGACAAACTGCATCGAGGAGCAACAAACGATGGCGATGAGGCATGAAAACGTTTTGGACAAGAGTGGTCGTGGGCCTGTGGAATAAGTCACAAGTTGAGACGCACTTCGAGATTGAGCTTGTGGCCGGCCACCAGGCAGCTGTGTTGCAGGGACTTGATGACAGAGAGGTAGGCATCGTTCAGACCCGTGTATTTGCCCACAAGGACAATGTTGACCGTCTTACGAAGCTGTTCGTAGCGGTCGGCCAGATCCTGCCAGCGTTGCAGGGGCTTGGGAGGCAGGGGCTCCCATAGGGCTTCATCCAGCTCAAAGTGCTTCCAGACCATGGGCACCAAGTCCTGCACAAGCCGGTTGAAAGATGGCACACAGATATCATGAGAAGTAGCTCGCAGTCCATCTGCACGACACGGAAGAGACGGGACTTTTGAAGAGAGGGAAGCAAACATTGCTTCCACCCAAAACAAACAAAAATCACAACGAGAACGAAGAAAAAAAGCAGAAAAGAAAAAAAAAAAGGAGGGGGGGGGGTGTCAAAATGCAGAGCACAAACCTGCTGCTCAAGGAGCAGGGGCACGCGGTAGATGGAGGAAAGGTCGTGGACGGCAAGGACGTGGGAAGAAGGGACGTGACAAAACATGGCAATTTTCTCGCCCAGCCCCTCCTGAAGTGGAGTCTTGGAGCGGCAAACGATAAAGTCGGGGCTGAGACCAAGGCCGCGGAGCTCGCGGACGCTGTGCTGGGTGGGCTTGGACTTTTGCTCGCCAGTGGTGGAAGGCTGGGGCACCAGGCTGACGTGGAAAAGGAGAAAGTTTTCGCGGCCGACTTTAAACTGGAACTGGCGGAAGGCCTCGACAAAGGGCATGCTCTCAATGTCTCCAATGGTACCACCAAGCTAAGAATCGGGTGGAGAAATGAGAGAAGGAGAAGGTACCCCCGGTCGTTCCGCTTTTGGATGCAATACTTTCAAAAAAAGCATGGCACGAGGTCAGGGTAAGCGGGTTGGGGCCGCACCTCAATGATGCAGACATCGGCGAGGCGACCGTTGGAGAGGGGGCGACGTGAGACCTGCTCAACCCATTCCTGAATGACGTTGGTCACGTGGGGAACAACTATCGATGGACAGGCGACTCTGGTCAATCCTTGCACATGGTGAAGGCATTCGAATTGGCAGGACATGACTGTGGCAAGGGCAAACACACCTTGAACGGTCTTGCCGAGGTAGTCACCACGGCGCTCCTTTTCAATGACCTTTTGGTAAATCTTACCAGTGGTCAAGTTGTTGTCGCGAGTCAAATCAGTGTCGAGGAAGCGCTCGTAGTTGCCCAAGTCCAGGTCAACTTCACCTCCATCATCCAGAACGAAGACCTCGCCTAGAGATGGTGACATTGTGGCAATGATGAGGCAGAATATGAGGTCCGGGTGGAGGTGACTGACACGCTGTGTTATGCCTTGTCACGGGCAGAGAATGCGAGGCGAGACCTACCGTGCTCGTAGGGAGAGAAGGTACCAGCATCTAACAGGCATCAAATTTGGACGAGCGTTACAAACGGCAAAAGGGATCCTGGGGAAGGGAGGAGCTGGGCAGATGATTGGGAACACGCAACGGCTAACCAATATTGAGGTAAGGGTCAATCTTGATTGAGGTCACGTTCAAGCCATAGTTGGTGAGCATGGTGCCAAGCGAGGAGCTGATGATACCCTTGCCAATGCCGGAGATGACACCACCTGATGCCAATGACAGGATGGGGGGAGGGGGTGTCAAATGAGAGCATGCAGCAACGACGGGAGCAAGCATGGCCACCTTTGGAGTCGCCAGGCCGCGACCCAGTGTGGGTGGCAAGGGCAAGACACACCAGTCACTAGGATGTAGCGCATGCGACGTTCGGGCTCGGCGCCCGCAGCGGTGGCGGCGCTCATGGTGTGTCGGTTACTTGAAAAGGGGGTTTCACCAGGCTATTCGGCAGCGACCACGTTCAGGCGTTCTGGCTTGACGGCTGAGCCTTTGGGAAGGGAGAGCCAAGAAGACGGACGACATGTGAGCTACGGTGCTGGCAGGAGCGACCCACACCCACGCGCCCTGTCCGAGTCACGACACCAGCCGCACGTGTGCAGCAAAAGTTGTGTGTTGTGTGTGTGCACCAAGAAAATCATTCAAAAATGAGACACTTGAGCAACACCGGAACGACACGGCACAAGCGTCACACCCCCACACAACAGTCCCACTGTATCACACCAACGAGCAGCAGCAGCAGCAGCAGCAGCAGCAGCAGCAGACCACGAGTGTTGCAGCACAAATGGCGGGAAAAACTTTGCGCGCGCTCACTCACGCGACAAAATGGCGCTGACATGTGTGAGAGAGTGTGTGTGAGGAATCGGGAAGGACAGAGACACGGGTAAGACGCGCCCGAGATCAGAGAGACATGCAAGGATATCAACTGGATGACGATAATTTGGCTTTGAACTTATGAAGAAACCAGAGGTGCATATCGAGATGCGTCTTTTGCGAGAGAAGGGCGAATAGCATATGTGTGCTGAAGAGAGTTTGCACAATACGAAAGACAAAAGAATTTCAAGCTGTGAGCATGTGTCTTGCACAAGCTCACCAACAACGGGGGGATGTTAACGGCGCTGGGGACGCAGGGAAGGCCGTCGAGGACTAGTTCTTGGTGCGCGAACCGCAGATGGCAGACCACCCATACATGCAATCCATGTTCAGCGCAGCGGTGCCTTGAGCAGCATTGCAATACCTCTTCCACCCTCTGCGCTGCCCTTTTCCCCATCTGTCCCTGCCCCAAATCGTAACGGATCAAAGCAGCCGACGTTATTGCTTTACAACCATAAATCCCTGACACCCTATACAAAATCTCCAGCAGCCTTGTTGTCCAAGTTTAATACCCCCCTACAATATTGACTGACTACGGAACGTGAGTCTTCTTGAGTCTCCCCCGAGACTGGATCCAGTTGTTGTGGCGCTTCTCTCTCTCTCTCTCGTAGAGAAAAAGCAAAAAACGAGGTTTTTGTTGAAAAAAAATAAAAATAAAAAAAGGTGAGCGCGCGCTCTCTCTCTGATGGCAGCCACACGTGCTGAAAAAGACGATTCACCAGGCGTGCGGATGTGAGGCCTGGTCGGGGCGGTGGAGAGCCTTTTCTTGGGGTGAACCTGGCTGAGCCAGACATGATCTCTTACAATCACAAGGCGGGGGGAGGGGTGGTTTTTTTTTCTTGTTCATACACTGTCTTGTCTTCTTTGCTCTTGGTTTCCGCCCCTTGCGGTGCTGGCGTATCCTCATGTCCTTGATCGCCGTGAGTGTGCGTGTAGATTTGCTCGGGTCGTGCTGCAGATTATACAAGCTTTTTTCTGAAAGTGCAGGAAAAAGGACAAGAGAAGAGCCGACTCCCGCTCTGCGGCCGCTCACAAGGCCGGTCGCGGCGAGAGTGTGCACGCAAGCCCGAACTCGGCTACTACGCTCGTGGCTGCTCGTGGCCGTCCACCTGCCCTTGCCCGGCGCGTTTCGATTGAAGTACCCATCCGAGCGCATACAACCCCCGCCTTGCCGCCAATCCTTTGAAAGCCTTTGAAAGGCCGCTGTAAACCCTTGCCTTTCTTCCCGGAGACTGCCAACATGCCCCGCAACAAACAGGTGAGAAGGCACAGGTCTAGTTCACACATCTCATCCCGAATTTCGAGCTCCACAAGTCCCCACCTGCAAGCACACAAGCTCAGATTGCGATAATTTTATTTTCGGTCCCCTTAGGTCAATGTCCGGGTCACGACCATGGACGCCGAGCTGGAGTTTGCCATTCAGCCCGCCACCACCGGCCGCCAACTCTTTGATCAGGTCCGGACATGCCTTCCTGCCTCCTGCCTCCTGCTCAGATCAACAATCTTGCTTGACTCAGCCGATCGAGCCATACCCAAGAGCACTTGTTACTATTATTCGGATCTGATCCATGTCCCGCCCTTTTTTTTTAGGTGGTCAAGACCATCGGACTTCGTGAAGTTTGGTATTTTGGCCTGCAGTTTATCGACTCGAAGAATCTGGTTTCTTGGCTCAAAATGAACAAGAAGGTGCTGTTTATCCAAACCTTCCCTTTCAGCATGTTAAATCAGCTCGTGCCTGGGTGCTCACGTCTCCTCTGTACCCATTCACGTTCGTGTAGGTGGTGTCCCAAGACGTTCGCAAGGAGGATCCATTGCAGTTTAAATTCCGGGTCAAGTTTTATCCCGAAGACGTGTCAGAGGAGCTGGTCCAAGATGTCACACAACGCCTCTTCTTCTTGCAAGTCAAAGAGGCCGTCCTCAACGAGGACGTGTATGCGCCACCCGAAACCTCTGTCCTTCTGAGCTCCTACGCCGTTCAAGCGAAATACGGCGACTACACCCCCGAAATCCATCGCGCTGGCTTTCTCGCACACGAGCGTCTTTTGCCTCCCCGGTATGACTCGTCTTTGCTGCCGCCCAGCTCAGTCCGACGCACTTTACACGAGCCTGTCTGCCCAAGGTCTCATCCACTCTGACGTTTGGACACTTGCACGCCCATAGCGTACTGGAACAGCATCGCATGACAAAATCCGAGTGGGAAGGTCGCATCACCGCCTGGTACTCGGAGCACCGAGGAATGCTGCGCGAGGACGCCATGTTGGAGTTTCTCAAAGTGGCGCAAGAGCTTGAAATGTACGGCGTCAATTATTTTGCCATCAAAAATCGCAAGGGCACCGACCTTTGGCTGGGCGTTGATGCTCTGGGTCTCAACGTCTACGAAAAGGATGATCGCCTCACGCCCAAGGTTGGCTTTCCCTGGAGCGAGATTCGCAACATCTCTTTCTCCGACAAAAAGTTTATCATCAAGCCGATCGACAAGAAAGCGCCGGTACGTGCTAGTGGCCTCAGCCTACCCCACACTTTGCTTTGCCGTGCATCTCGCTGTCCCACCGGTGAGGTTTTGTCATTCATCGGGTGGGCACTTTGACGGGTGCAGGACTTTATCTTTCTGGCTACGCGGCTGCGCATCAACAAACGCATCCTGGCGCTGTGCATGGGTAATCACGAACTGTACATGCGCCGGCGTCGCCCGGACAGCATCGAGGTGCAGCAGATGAAGGCGCAGGCCCGGGAGGAAAAGGCCATTAAGCATGCAGAACGCGCACGTCTGGCACGGGAAAAGACTGCCCGCGTCGAAGCTGAGCGTCGACAGTCGGAGATGGCTGTGCGCCTGAAGCAGTACGAGGACGAATTCAAGCAAACCATGGCGGCCCTGCAAGAGTCGGAGGATCGCTCCAAGAAGCTGGCCGGCAAGTTGGAGGACATGCAAACTGAGGCCATCCGCCAACAGCGCGAGCACAGCCAAGCCATGGACAGCGTGCGCGAGCTTCAAGAGCAACTCACGCGCATGCAACAGAGCCAAAGCAACAACGCCGAAGAGCGTGAGGCCTTGGAGCGCCAGCGCGTTGAGGCTGAATCACGGGCTCAACGCATTCGCGACGAAGCCACGCAGCGTGACGCCGAGGTTCAGGCTCTCAAGACGCAGTTGGTCAAGGCCCAGGAGGAACAGGCCGCCAACACACGCCGCCTCATGGCTGCCTCGGCTGCCCCCAACCTCGAAGCATCGGAGACGGACGACGTGGTGGAGACTAGCCAATTTTCGGCTGAGCTGTCTCATGCCACGCTCGCTGCCGCCGGCCGTAACTGGACATCAACGGCTGTCGATCGTGATGCCGTGCTGCAACGTTCGCAACGAATCCGCGATCAATTGGCCATGCTGGGTCGCGATCTCGATGCTGCCCGTGACCCCACCAAAGTCACAAGCTTTGACCGACTGCATTCAGACAACGTGGTTCACGGTCGGGACAAGTTCAAGACTCTTCAGAAAATTCGTAGTGGCAACGTGCGTCAGCGCATCTTGGAGTTTGAGGATATGTAAACGGTCGCGCTGTTCCTAGATGTTTTGGCCTGAGCCCCTGGCTGGGCTGCTAGCCCACCTGTGCCTGCACTGTTGTGAATACGGCAAGGTCTTATCATACATACCCTCTCAGCTCTGATGTTCTTTTTAGCTCTTCTTGTTCACAGTTTGGCTGTGCAGCTGGTGTTGTTGTTGTGGTTGTCATTTTGTGGTGCTTCGTTGTTGTTTTCTTTGTTTGTTGTTGTATGTGTGAATTTGAACGACATAATTATCTGACATTCGCGCGAGATCTTTCGTCTGACAAATCCTGACTTTGAGGGTATTGTTTAAGAAGGAAAAACTAGCGTAATATGATAGAAGCACGGAGGCCGCCTTGGCAACTGGTTCCCAAGGCGGCCGCGACGCCACAAAGCGCGCATTCTCTCCACACACACACACACACACACACACAGAGCCTGCAGGCACATCTAGGCACATCTCATCTTTTGGCGGCATCGGGGCGATCAAACGGCTGGCCTGACTGCCGGTGTCCCATCCTCACGCCATTGCTTTTCGTTCGCCTTGGGCCTTGCTTGACTGCCTTCTGTGCGTGGACGCGCGAGAAGCAACGCGCGTGCCGTGGGCGGTGGTCACGACCGCCCGCCAAGCTTGTATAAGTAGACCTGCGGCAGAGGCGTGGTCTGCTTCTTGGCTGCCTCGAGCTTCAAGATACAACCGTTCCCACCCTGCGCGATTTGACTTTTTGATTGTGGCGCATCCACACCGGCACCATGGCAGCACCCATTCCCCCTTCGAATAACACCTACACCTTTGCCTCGGCCCCCCGTGCCGTCGCTCCTCAACGCCAAAAGTATCGGGACCCCACGTACGTCCATGCCCATGATGTCCAGCTGCTGGCCCCGCGCGAATGCCCTTGTTTCGCCCGCGTCGTTGGTTTCACGCCACTACGAGGTTCGGCACGGAAAACGCCTCACCTTCATATGTTGCGATCCTGGCCCCCACCCGAAACAGGGAAACCCAGCGCACGGCTCCGGCCAACATGATGTACGACCGTCGCATCGTGCGCGGTAGCACGCTGCGCCAGCCCGTGAATGCGGCAGTACGTTTACCACCACCCCGTGCCTTCAAATACGCATTCTGCACATCACCAGCTGGCGCACAGGCGTGCTCT